CAATCAAGAATATCAAGAATAACTAAGCACAGAAGATATTTCAAGTTGATTAGGAAATCTTGGGTTATAGCTATAATTCTATACTTAACTTGATATTTTTCTACCTGTTTTTACACTGAGCACCTTGGTGGGATGCTCACCAGTCCTGCTGACTTGTGATGTCCATGTCTCACAGGACAGACAGTGTCTCACAAACAGCCTCTTAAACTTGTACTTACCAGTAATTTTTGTCTCAGAAATAATTTCAGACTCTCTTTCTCTCGCCCTAACTGACCACTGACAAAGGCCAAAATAGTGGCATGCAGTATTAAATCACACACAAACTGAACCACTATTGTTGTTTGTGTAAAAATCTATTCTGTACATTGCTGTAAATTAGTAATAAAGTAAACAATACTGACACGTACCTCCAATGATTTTACTCTTGCAGGGTGGCAGGACAACAATGCGCAGTACTTCATCAGAGGACATGGACCATCAAGGAGGTAAAGACAAACACACAGCCCTTTGAACAATTAACTCACTTATTTCACAAATTTTAAATCGCAAAACTACTTGTCCAATCTTTACCTTAAAACATACCTATTACAAACCTTAGTGCTGTATGTGGGTGGGTAATGTTGTTTCAGGGAACATTGTAGTTTGTGCCACAACTTGATCATGTATGATACCTGAAGAGCAATCATTCTGAAAATACAGTCACAGTTTACTGCAGAACAACATTACTTTAAGTGTGAGTATGTCCTCTGCTGTAGGTCCATCTGTGCCTGACAGAGTGTTGGAGTCGACATCCATGAAGGAGAAGATGGCCAAATACCAGGCTGCTGTTTCTAAACAAGGCATCACTCGCTCTGTGAGTTCATGCAATAGGAGCTGAATTAAAAACAAAACATACAGTTTAACTACAAAAACCTAACCTCTTTAAAATATGAATGGTATATTAACGTTTTTTTTAATAGTGTTACTGAAGGGTTAACAGTGGGTGTTTGATAAAATTCCGCTACAGGTGTTTTTAAAGGCTTATCATCATAAATAATGCATTTTAACCACAGTGTAAAACTTTTTTTTTATTTATTGTTTTCTATTTACTGTATTATACATGGTGGTTTGAGTCTTCCTCTGTAGATCTGCTCACTAATATTACTGTATGTACAATGTTTGCTGTCTTCCTGTTTCATTGATTTATTACTTCCAACCTACAACAGAAATTGAAGAAATACATAACACTTCATTATGTAACAGCCAGTTTACACAAGTGTTTGTCATCTTTTCTTTTTGTGTTTCCTACAGGGTGTTGCCCCAGAGGTGCCTGCTGCAAAAACATCTGCACCAGTAAATCAAAAACACATTCCTGCACCAGAGTGCAATGGTGAGTCTTAGTGGATACTCCAAGGACATACAGTATTCCAACGTTAATGTTAATGATACAGTATTAGCTTTAATATGAAATAGAATATATTACTACTAATACTACAATATGAATAGATCCAAATAACTGTGGCACCCAAAACATGCTCCTTTTTTTTCTGTTTCAGGGGAGAACAGCGAGCAACCCAAAGCATTGAGGGTGAGTCAGTCATCACATCAAGCAGGAGACGTGAATTAACAAAATAAATTATTATTGTTATATATAATATTATATAATATTATTTTGTGTTTTTAGAAGTTCTGTCCACCGGTGAGGGAGACATGCATTGCCTGTCTAAAGACGGTGTACCCACTGGAGAGACTAGTGGCTCTTCAGCATGTCTACCACAAAATTTGCTTCCGCTGTGTTCACTGCAACACAAGGCTCAGGTTAGTCTTGCTCTAGCATATTTCCTGATTTAGTTTTTCTTATTTTTCATTGTGTCTTATGATGTATGCAGTAAATATACTTCAAATCAACCACAATCTATGCGACTCTCTATTTCTAGTCTATTGAACTATGCCTCTCTGCATGGTAACGTCTACTGCAAGCCCCATTTCAACCAGCTGTTTAAAGCTAAAGGCAACTACGATGAAGGCTTTGGTCATCGGCCTCACAAGGAGCTTTGGGAGCCTCGAGCTGATGGAGACGAAGCTGACGAAGCTGTGAAGCCAAAAGAACAAGAGGAACCAGCAGCAGTGGCGCGACCAGTTGAGAGCATCTTCGACAAACAGCCAACCCCAACAGTGGAAGAATCCCCACAGGTGAAGGTTACAGACCTGACTGCCTCACTGGAGACACGTGTGCAGACACACGCCACCTCCAGTGAGAAACCCCAGCCGACAGAGAAGCTGGCTGAAACACGCAGGCTGAGAGTTGCCTGGCCTCCTCCGGCTGCTGATGGCCACTCTGGAACAGCAGCACTCAGTCCGGTCACGGAGGGAGCAGCTCCTGGCCGACCCTGGAGAGCCAAGTGGCCGCCAGAGGAAGAGGTGCCATCATCCTTCCAGAGCTCAGATCGTGCCGAACTGAAGAGCCTTCGAAGAAGTTCTTCTCTAAAGGAGCGTATTCGACCTTTTACAGTCGCAGTTAAACCCAGCCCCACAACCAGTCTGGGACCCAGAGAACCTCGTCGCCCTCTCAAATCCCTGCTGGAATGGAGAGCATCATTCGAGGAAAAAAACCCAGCTGAAGAACCACACAACGAAAATAAGCCAAAGCAGGTGAAACAGCCAGAAAAAGAGCAGACAAGGCCTCAGAAACCAAGTGAGACCACCTCAGAGGAGGATGTGAAGCCAAAGCGACAGGAAGAAAGAGACAAACAACAGCAGACAGGAAAGGCAGCAGCAAACAACATGGCGGCAGAAGAGAGCTCTGTTAGAAGCATCTCGCCGGATATCTCACCGTCGCCCTCTCCACCTTTACAGCCAAAACAGAACCGCGCCTCCCAGGATGTGGGATTCTGGGAGGAGGACAAAGAAGAAAGTGATGCTGAGGAGCAGAGTGCCGAGGATATAATCAAGAAGAACCGCTACTACGAGGAGGAGGAGGAGGAGGAGGAGGAGGAGGAGTAGGACTCATAGGAACATCTCCATCCTACATAAACACTTTCAGTCAGTTTTGTTTTCTCAGTTTGTAGTTAGATCACACATATAGCTTTGCCAGATTTTGTAGTGTTCTAGGGGAGATACACAAATGCATAATAGGTGTATGCATGTGCATATATATTGCAGTAACTGCCTTTCAATTGTTAAATTACAAATGTTTGATTTTTTTTTTTTTACATTTTAAATACATACTGTTAAAAATATCTAATACAGCTTTTATATGACTCCTGATTATACTGGAAGGTGGACCTCTATTAAATCAAATCATTGCATCTCTGAACCTCATCTCTTGCTGATTATATGCACCATCAGTGGTGTATTATTTGCAGGTGGTGTGTCCAAAAACCATTATAATTCATGTGGCACTTTAAGTGCTTTTTAATGACAGGCAGTACCCTTCTGCATCAAGCAAAACAGTCATTATGTGTATTTTTGCCCTTGGCAGAATGCAGAAACAACCTAAATATCTTATACCAAAAAGCGTAAACCAGCAGTGTATTTATAAGATGTTGTTGCAGACGAAACATCTGGGCATTGTATAGTTCATATTGTTACACACTGCTTCAATTTAAATTGTAAATGAAAGAAAAAGCAAAACAGAACCCAAAGGAGAATACTCTGGATTAGGTTTTAGCAAACCTCCAAACCGACATCGTACACGTTTTTCTCTCAGGGATGGAAACACCGCCAGCTGCTTTTGTGCTGAATCTCCTCTCACGGGACTCAGTACTTTCCTACTATGCCACTATCATAAAAATAAGAGCAGACAATACACAACAAACTGAGTCTTTACCTTGTCCCTGCACCTGAATAGTCATAAGTAAGTTAAGATCTTTAAATATACATACCAAGTAAATTAACCATAACACTAACCTGCAGGGGGTGCTCTGGTTTGGTAAAACTACAACTACAGCTACTGTATACATTAAGGGCAAATTGCAAATGGGATTATCTTAATCATAGGTGTAGCTGTGTGAAGTAGCCTTCTTGTATTATCTGATCAATCAGAACGTCTCCACTGTGGCAGAAAGATTTTGCATTTGCTAATTTTCAACCTGGTTCTGGTGAAAATCTGCTCAACTGTTCTCAGCACCATTTAAAAAAAGGAGAAAATATAATTAATCAAGGTTTCTACTGATATCTATTTTTTCATTCTAATAGCACAATATATATCATCTCTTTTGGGCCTTCTGGATTTGTATGTAACAATTTCAAATGTGATTAAAATTTTATGATATGTAAAACACTTTGTATTTTAAAATATGCTGTTGAATACACGTTTGCACTGCAGAATATTTCTTAATAATTTGTATAATGACACATTAAATTCTTAACTGTTGTTGAAACACAATTAAAATGCATTAATAAGGAAATCTAGATTGTACAGAGCTGACGCTGCCTTATTCATGATCTTCACAAGCTTTTGACTTATTGTGCTCGTTTTCCATGTTTAATTCAATTCAGTTTTATTTGTATAGCACCAGCAAAAGTTATCTCAGGTCCATCTGATTTTTACTGAAATTCAAAAATTAATCTAATACACTACAACCATATACTATCCTACTACTAGTTTCCTGATGATTATACGTTTTCACAGTAGACCATTGTTTTAAATCAACTCTTTACTTCTCCTGCAGGCTAAAGTCAAAATAATATCCTTCTTAATTTATATTATATATATTTATAAGTATGTAAATACTTAATATTTTAATAGTTTTCAGACATCCAAGACATTGACACAGAATATCTGTAACATCAATAAGCCAAAAAAAACACCATAATTTATATGCTTCTCTGAACAGCTTCCTCAGATCATTACTTCTTTTCAAATACTGATGACGAGAAAATGTGCTTTGTCAGATTATCAAGAACAGGACTGAGGAAAATGATACATACATTGAATTATCTGCATTTTAAAAACATGTTGATTAAAAATCAGGAGACAGCACTAAATGTTTGTTTCAGAAAAGAGCAAAAGACATTGATGCGTTGAATGTAAATATTCTTTATTTTTGTTTACATTCTTTTTGGCATGTTTATCTGATTGCTTTAAGTGAAAAGAGACACAAGAGAACCAGAGAAAAGTCGAGATGAAATGAAAACATACATGACAGGATGTACACAAGGGCTGGATTGAGAGGGACCTACTGAAAGATGGCCTGACTGCGTTAAACTTCATTCATGATTAATGACACAAAAGATAAAGCAGGGCTAAATATTCAAAGCGGGTGATAGATGATTAACAGAACATTAGCAGAAGACCATTATTAGCTTCTGTGAACTAAGACAAAGAATCACGTGATTACAGTGACAAGTGAAAAACCGAACATGAGTACACCCTGTCTACAGTACAAGCTGATAAAATGACGTTCAGAGGGTTTCCTCAGCACACAGTTAGCAGCATTTGAGCATCACATGAACATCACTCTTTAAAATATCTCGCCGACTGACCAGGGAGACACTTCATGAACGCAATTAATCCTTATTCAAATGAATATCCCAGCAGGTTTTTGGAGTCCAACATGGATCCAATAAGGTGTTTTTAGGTATTTTCACTGACCTGTGGAGTCTATGGACATGTGACCTCTTTGGGATGAGGTGTCAAAGTGTGAATGTAGTTCCACAAACTTCAGAATCAGCATGAACCAACGACCAGGTGGAACATTACCAACACGACACCTGGATCCTACAACCAGGTGTGTTATTTAATAAAGGGTCCAAACTGGATCCTTTTTTACACAGGCACTTTGCTCATTAGGTCAAATGTTTAAAAGCTGTCTGGTTGTAAAGCCTAGACACAACATTTATCAAGTTCTTACATTTGTTTATGACTTTTTTTTTTTACTTTTAAAGTACAGTATTGCAGGTAAAAGTTGTTTCCAGCAGTTTACAGCCTATTGTTATATGTTTATGAATAACAAAACTTGAAGCACGGACGACTGCAGAGAATCCTGTTATAAGTGTAGTATGAATTGATACTAAAAGCAGGGACTTTATCTCTACAGTTTTGGTAAAATGGTAGGTGTTGCGTGTAAAATTTGGTTTCACAAAAAAGAAAATCCTTTACAATAACTTGACACAACAAATCAGGGGGAACACAGTCGTAGGTCTCCTACTTTAACAGTCTTCAATTTCAAAAGATGGATTCATTAGGAAAACAATAACTGAGTTTCTAACCAGACAAAAAAAACATGAACAAAAATGGATTACAGGTTTGTGGCAATCAATGGTTGACTTCATACAGCAAAATAAAATAAAAAAATAACCACAAAAAAAGACAAGATACTCATTTTAGATTTTCAAATATACCTGAGAGCAGCAAATATTAGTTACAGTATGGCTTCATTTTCAACATTCAGATCTTAAGTAAAATATTCAGATGTTGAACTATAAAGAGATTTACTACTACACCATGTTTAGTCCTTAATTATTCTTGTCCTGACAGGGTTCAACTCAAAGAAAATCGCTCTTAAACGGTTTTCCCTTTTTGAGACATTTGCCATCCATCTCATCCCAAATAGACCATGTATATATTCATGTATGCATTATACACGTATAAATACATTAAATATCATGACTTCAAATGTGTCTTTTTAATGTGAAGAACTTAACCAAAGGCTCCACTAAGTGTGGCATTAACTTCGAGATCAGTAAAATCTCTTGGTTTGTTGTGTGTGTAAGGGAAACTGTAAGATACATGCTCTAAGAACATGAATATAGTGTAGTTACACCTGGACACCAAATATCTCTATAATGGAAAACACATTGAAAGCAATATCCACAGACTCATACTGTCACCTTAGTACAAATCTATTAGAAGTTCTTCCACTGACATGATTTTGGTTTCATTTTTACAAATTCTTATCTTAAAGATTCTGATGTGATTTAAAGACAGTACATCGTCAACAATTAGGTAAAAATCATCAGTCAGCTAGTCATAAAACCAACCTGCATTTGAAATGTTTCCTTTAAAACTTCTTCTTCCAATATCACAATTAAAGGTCATAATGGTGGTTTGGAAATTATTTCAACAAATTGTTATTACATGTAATTATCCCATAATTCCCAATGCATGTGGCTTGCAAAGTTGCCACAAAATATGCTGTAATGACTCCATGTCAGAACAAGCACCCACACTCAGAGACAACCACAGCGATAAAGCAGCCAGTTTTACTGAATGAGTAAACTCACTGTTCCTTCAGTGTACTATGTTTTTTTTTTTTTTTTTGGAAGACTATCTCAGAATATCACTCTCACCACTGAGTGTCAGTAACACACCATCGACAGGAGGAAATACAGCAGAGCTCCGGTAATGAGCACAGAGTGGCTGCAGGCTGTCAGTGGCGCTATGTATCTGCAGACGTACAATATTGGTGATAAGAGCGTCCACTTGTTAGCTGGGGTCTCCTATAATTGGATTTTTACATTCATTATTCTGGTGAGATCCTTTTTTTGGGGGCATTTTATGTTATTTTATTAACTTTACTCTGTTTGATGAAATTGTCAAAAAATAGTGTTTACCCTTACAAACCCCTGGTTTAACAATTATTGTAAAACCATTTAATTATAAAGCTCTTTTTTGAGGCATGCATGCTCTAGTAACATGCATTATTTTGATCATTCTTACAGCATGAGGGAAGCGCAGTCACCTACACAGGAGTGACTTTTCAAGTAACACCTTGGAGCCCCTGATGCAGAGGTATTATTTATTGTCCGATCTCCAAAATGTACTAGTGCTCAATCAATCGTCCTCACTCTGATTTCACTGCTCATTTCCTCCACTCTGCTCATCCACTGAGGGGGTGCAGGTCCACTCTGACCTTCTCTCCAGTGCTCATCATGCCAATCGTGGGGTACAAGCCTCCCACAGGTAAGGCCACTTCCCTCCGGCCCACCACCTTTCCATTTCTGGTGAAGAACACCTGTTCAAACACAAGGCGACAGCAAAGAGATATAAAGAATATTTGCACTCAAGGTTTAAGAAACCCCCTGGTTTTACATTCTTAGATTTTCATAGCATCTCACCGTGACCATCCTCCCCTCCAAATCTTCTCCCTCGTCCTCCTCATCTTCGTTGCTTGCATACAAGTCATTCTGAACCTCACTGGGCTTGGGAAACACCTCAAAGTCCCAGTCGTCTACGTCATCTGAAAGAACCCAGGAACAGAAAATGAAAGAAAGACAATTAGAGAGAGTGTGTGGGATGAGACACAGTGCTTTTCAAACAATATAAAAGATGTACACCTCCACCATCAAGGCTGTAGTCACGTGGGAACATGATTCCACAGCCCATGATGTCCCCTTCAAAGCAGCGTGGTCCGAACGCGTCCCCAACCCCACTGCCCTGGAACAGCTTTCCATCATCTACAAAGAACAACAGCGAAGCAGATTAGTGCTTCAAGTCACATACAATGGAGACAGACATCTGCCATTGCTAATATTTATATCAGTCTTTTTGTTTGGTTCAACAGTGTAAAGTAACATCCATCCAACCATCTATTCATTATTTTTCTGAACCACTGATCCTGTTCAGACAGACAAACTCATTCCCACTCACTCCTACAGGCAATTTAGAGTTTCCAGTTCACCTGAGCTGCATGTTTTGGACTGTGGGAGGAAACCAGAGCAACCAGAGGAAACCCACACAGTCACAGGGGAGGACATGTATCAGATAATAAGTTGAAACAATAATACTTCAGTTTAGTGAGGCCAAATACAGCAACAAAAAAAGAATACGGTTTAAGGGTGTCAGCATTATCGACATGGCTATCAATATTTATTACATCTCTGTACTTTCTACCATCGACAGAAACATGAGGGGCAATTTGGTGCCATCACCAATGTGACTGCAGGTGACACAATAAAATATAAGACAGTGGGACTGTTACATGGCTGATAAGTAAACATTGTGCATTATCATGATCTGCCAACACTCACCAGCGTGATAGGCTATGGACCCTCTACTCCAACCTGGATGTCTGTTTTTGGGGTAGTCCTGCCAAACAAAAGAGAAAGTGACATCAACTAGTCTGAACAATGTCATCATTGCAGCACAAATTCAAACCCAAGCTGATGGCTGATCTCAGACAGTTGCAGAATGGACATAAAAACCTTTCCATTTAATTAAAGAGAATGGAGCTCCCCTGTAGCTCCAGTGGCCCAGGTTCAATTCCAAACCATGACCCTTTGCTGCAAGTCATCCCCACCTCTCTCTCTCTCTCTTTCCCCAGTGTCCCGTCTATCTCTGGTTGTATCTATCAAAAAAGAAGCCTTTGCCAGGCAGAGAGACGGTCCAAAGTGTGGCCTCATTTCACACAGAAACTCAAGCTCCTTTAACACCTACTCTTTTCCTACAATGTGTTGAGACTCAGAGATAATAAAACAGTTGCGTTGACACTGAAAAGCAGTGTAGGCCTACTTTTTTCCACACAGAAAATTGATCAGTCTAATGACAAATTATCCGACCGATAAGCAGAATCGATAATGATATTGGTATCAATAAAATCTTATTAATTCCCATCCCTACCCCAACAGGGGGCATCTTGTAAAGCCTCTGGTTTAGTCTAGGAGGTCTAAGTAGCCATATAAGCCCCTGTAAGCAGAGCACTGAAGTGATGATGGGCACAGGAACAGGTGAGAAAACTAGGTGTTGGAAGGAGAAAGCATGACAAGATAAGACTGAAGGAGTTAAAGACATAAGGTGTCTGTAATGACTGCTGCGTAGAAAACAAGACTTTTCCCTGAAGCAACAAATGAGAAAAGGAATGCACCATAAACAATTGCTCCTTTATCAAATATAAGCAACCATTGAGCAACTAGTAGCTGTTAAGCATGTGTTACCCTGAGACAGAGAGACACCTTTGTTTTGATTTTTTTGTGCAGTGAGAGCTAATGCTTCCCATCAGCAGACTGATGCGTCTTGCAGGAGATGATGGGGGATGGAACAAAACCTCAGGAATGACCGTTTGATGGATTTATAATGCGGCACCAGAACCGCAGACACGTAGAGAAAAACAATTCCTGGAAAACAATCAGCAAAATGACAGAGCTCCATTCTCCACGCCGCCTGACCCGAGGGCGCGACATGCCCACACACAGTAACTAACGGCAGGGGAGTCGGGGGGGAGCTTAATGTTAAGGGCGAGTGAAACAGTGATCCACCACCTCCCAGGCTGTGAGCATCATCACAGCTGGCAAAACAGCAGTGTAATTAGCAAGACTGATGCTCAGGCAATTAGCGTCCAATAACCGAGAATGAGTACTGCCTGTCCCAGTGGAGAGCAGCAATCTCTGAGCCACACTTCATTTCATATTTGTCATTTAAATGACACGCCGATCCTAAGCAGTTATTACGCTGTTTTATTTATATTGAACACAATGTGCACAAGTTCATGATGATTTCATGTGAGGCCGAAGGCAGCTGATTGCATCTTTGATGTGTAAACATTCAACAAGTCTTCTCTAAGGCCCGACGTATTTCCAAAATATGGATCGTCCCTTGCTGTCATCGTTTCAGATTAAAATCACCTATTTGAGCCAAATAATTAAGATATCAACATTTAATTGCTTAGCCTGAGGAACTTCTCCTTGTGTGCGGTTACTGACTACATGGAAAGAGGAAGTAAAATCAGTCAGAAACAAAAAGAAACTGAGACAAACACAACAATCTAATCTTATCTCATAAGTAACCTTTCGCATACTTGACTGCAGTATTCTAGTTAACATGGTAGATTAGCATGTAAATGGAACAACCTGCTTTCTATGGAAAACCAGATGTGGGGATGAAGTGAGACAATATTTATTCTGTTGTTAGCTTTTCCTCTTTCGGTCATCCATCACTCAGACTGGAAACAGTGAGAGCAGTATGAGGGAGAGTGATGACGAGGTGTGAGAGGGGGGGAAAGAGAAGTTTTCTTTACCGACAGATAACCACAGAGTGTGTACAGTAAGTAACACAGTGTGTCAGTGACTTTGACATGTGATCATTATGGCAATGACTAAATTGGGGAGCCTCTTACCCTGCGTGCCAGCCCCAGGGCGATGTAACACTTCTCTCCAGCATCTGTGATCTCCAGTTCATAGTAGTGGAAGCGTGTGTTGAGAGGCCGACGGGCCTGAGCCAAACCCACGTCCACGATGCTCTTCCCTTTACCCACGTACTCCAGCAGCTGTGGACATGACGCAGACACATGCAGGTTATGACTGAACACCGAGACTGGATTCATGTCTCTAATCATTTGTCAGCATCTGAATATGAGTATGAGCAACAGTATCATGCTGTAACCTATACAGTCATTTTTACAATATTACTTTATGTACATTGGTTTAAATACTTAAATATGCTTGGAGTAAGTCAATTTAAGGGATTAAACAAACTGAAATGTTAATTATGATCCTCAGTTACTTTAATGATTAAACACTTCATTTAAGATATATTTTAAAGCTGCACCTATCCATATTCTGTATTAACAATGGATCAATCAATATGTGCCTTTTAGCTCATTGTTTCTATTTTCTAGTCTGCAAACTCCATTCGGGCAGCTTTTTTCAGCCAAAACAACTGATATGATAAACCCTGTGCACTACCTGCCCAGCACCAAACACAAGACAGACAAAGGTAGTTAACTAGCTAGCTGGTGAACATTGTGGAGCATCTAGCGGTAAAGAGACAGACATTTCTCTCAGTAGTTCGAGACCAACAGAGCCAAAAGTAGACTGAATATTGGGTTGACATTTGTGGTGTGGCCGAAAACTTCAGATGAATGCTAATGTTGCTTCATGGCTGCTGCTGGATGTGTAAACAGACTGCTGCTAAAAGATGTTGCCACAGCTTTTCAAGGTGATAATATTTCGATGTTCAGCTTGTTCTGCTACCTTCAAGTGGCCACAATCATTACATTCAGGGGATTTGGCTTCTACAGCCTTATCTGGGCTATTGTGGCTGACATTACTGAGTAAGTTAGCTGACATAATGAGTCTTCACTACTTGTGTTACTGTTACATATCATTTTAGCCTATAACAGTATCCTATGATTGTCACTGGTGGCCACATAGGCTGCTGTTGAGAAGAAGTTACACAGGCTGGCTTTAAGCTGCATGTATGGCCCATATAGAGAGCTGAAGTTTTGCCCCATTTCCTAGGTAGCTTCTGTTCTACCAACCTCCATAATGCAAAATGCACTACTTTCATTGTGTGTTTGTTTTCTGAAACAACAGTGTTTGGAGTGATAATCACCCTCTGCATGCAAATTCATTAAAAAACATGTTTTTACATCTAAATCCCACACTCATTTGTGTCTTAAACACTATCTATCTAATCAAACAGGTTATTCACCTGCTACTGATAGTATGTCTGATTTTGCACTGGCCTGACTGCTGCTCCATTCTCAGGTTGGTAGAGACACGAGTTGAAAAGGAGTAGAGGACATGTTTTATTCACACATTATCCTATTAGAGATGTTAGATGATAGAAAAAAAAATAGGTTGCAACGTCATGCAACTCTTTCTTTCCTGGAAAAATAGGGCAGGATTTGGATTCGTCATTCCTGCACTGTACTGTTTGGGTACTAAAAAGCAAAGCTACGGCAACAGAGATAACATAACTGTTTACTACATCCAGCAGTGGAAATCAACACCGCCAAAGCTGAATTCTTTTCCAGAGTGACCTTCATAAATGTCAAAACCACATACAACCATCAGAATATAACTACCTCAGTGAAAACAAAAGACTTCCATACTCCACACGTGTCTAGGCCCAACATCTCATTACCCACAAGGTTGCCAATTTGCCCAGTTAAATTAACTCTTCTTTCATCAACAAACAGCGGTTTGGATGAGATTTAACTGTTTGAAATGTGTGATCTCATTAAACTCAAACACTGTAACTTTGGCACCAATAACAACATGATGCTGGTTTTCCGGCTAATCTTACGTTGTACACGCACCCATGAAATAAATAAAATACATTTGAAGTCTCATTTATCAGCATTTACAGACTGATTCATTCCTGGTGTTTTCCTAACCTCCTTCTCTTCCTTTTTTCTCGTTATGTAAGCACAACCTCGAGAGGTAAACAGCCGCTCCGGTGTTGTAACTGCGGCTGTCCTCATTTTGGATGAGAGCTGATAGTAAATCACTCACTAATCTCTAAACAGTTGTGCCAGTTTCAGTTTATTTATAGGCAATATTGGATGTTGTGTATCTTAATAAACAGTGTTTAACACACCTGCATATGTCAACATTTTTAAACGTGTGTCCAATAAATGCCTGACCTAACACGCAATCATAAGCAACATTAAAAAAAACAACACTGTAACATATTGTTTGGACATATAGAGAGATATTGCAAATGAGGCTCAAATACGAATAAGAAATCCAGACACCTGGATGCAGAATAGTTGGAAGTAGTCAAAAGACTTAAATATCACAATCACAACTCCCACAAAAGCACCCTTCTTGATTAGTTACCAACATGTTTTTCTGTCCTGACAGCTCTCGTGTCACTGTATTCATACAGGGCCAAATTTTGTAGAAATAAAGAATGATTGAATGTGCGGGTGGCATAAAGGTTACTCGCTCCCGACCTGCTTCAGGGCTATTCAGCTGTGATCCCCTCCCACTGTTTTCAATTCCGGTTTTGTGCGTATCATCGGCTGAGTCAGACACAAACACAGCAGCCCTACCATCACAGAGACTGGTGGAGACCCTACCAGGGAGAGAGGAGGTCAAGGAGCACTTTAAAGAAAATTTTGTTTATCTTATGTTATCTCTTCTTACTGGGTATTTAGCAACAGCTAATATTTACTCTGAGATTTTATCTAGGACTAAGAATTTAAAAGTTTGCACTTTGCCTTAAAAAGGGATTTTTCTTATTTTGGATTTGACACAGATCCACTAATTCCATTTAGGGTCAATGAGTGCAGATTACTTTTTTTACTTTTCCATTTGTTGCATTTAATTAGTTCAACAGTTTGAATACAGCCAACTGTGAAGGTGGAGTTAGACTTGGTAAGTGTCTGTATGTGTCAGGTCTTGTTGGCCAGAATATACAAGGCTCGGGTTAGGGATGGGTTAGGGTTCTTCTCACACTCTTTGTTAGAAGAGTTCTCCACTGATTTCACATTGCACTCCTGTAACACTGCCACATTCACAATGGACAGCTTAAAAAAAGAGATAAAAATATATAGCATAGATTATTCTATGCATTCTTCTTCCTTGTCAAAACCTGGCCCGTACATTACCCACAATGCAACTCTAACCGCCAACAGTTAGGTTGGAGATTTGAGTGTGTTATGCTAGTAGCGGCTAATGTAGCCTTGAGCCTCCAGCAGAGATGAGGAGTGGGCTACTACTTCTACTAGAGGTAAGCTCACTTCTTTCAAACTCCATGCCACCATATTATTTTCATTTTCGAACTCACACAGCTCCTCGTGGAGCCACCAAAGGCTTTATACAACTTTTTTTCTCATATTCAGAAGTACTCAAGAGTCAAGACAACTAACTTTGATGTATAAAACTCTTTAAGAGTTGGGGATAGTAAGTATCTACATATTTGTTTTTTACAGTATGATCAGTCCTTAATGGGCAAAAACTGAATGGAGTATATGAGTGATGAAGGGTAAACAACCTTTGAAATGTGGATAAGGAGTCGAGCTTCAAACATCAGTTAGTAGCCAACTTTAATTAAAGCTTTCTGATGTATTCCAGACCAATAATCTGGTGTACGCACTCTGCCTCATCCTCCTGCTGAATCATTACACAGCATTAACATTTATCTGGAAGACAAGCTGTCACTTTTTGATGTTAACTTTAACTGCCTGACCTTCTCAAAGTAGAATCAGTAAAAATGTAACAGTATTTTTTTTCCTTTTAATTTTACTTTGCAACAGCACTTACCGTGCCAGTCACCTTGACATCATGGAGACGGCTCCAGTCCTCTTCATGACTATCCACGATCATCTGTCCATCATCCTCCTCCATCCCCCATTCAGCGTTCAGGTCCAGAAGCACTTCTTCCCCCAGAGAGTGCATTCCCACAGCAGGGTAGAGAGCATCAGGAGATGCTGGGATTTCAACACTGCCGACCTGAGCACACATTCAGACACAGTGTTGTTTAGGGAAAAGTAGCTAGGAACTATGAATAAATTCACTTGTAAAATTGTGCTGCTTGAATACATTCTGTCAAAGGTCATGTAATATGATGGTAATGGGGCACTTACTTCCTTGCCATTCTTGGTAAAAAATACCGTTAACTGTCCATCATCTGAGTCCAGGGATATTCCACAGCCGATTCGATCACCTCTGCAGCATTTTGGACCAAACTGCTGTCCTACAGTGTTGCCATTATACAGCCTGTGGAAAGACAAGTATAAGAGATTCAATGGCTGATCATCAAAGCTCATCAGTTTCAGATTTTCCTGATAGAGAGAGAAACACCGTAAAGACACCAGTAACAGAAAATGAAGGCAAAAATGGTTCATAATCAGAAGCTCATTTGTGTTATCTCCCTCTAAGTAAATAATAAATTATACTGTAAATATTTACACAACATACTGTTTGTATTTTCACCTGGATTTTGATATTACTCTACCGTGATCCAGAATATATCCTCAAATCCACTTGCAGACTTTTTCAGGCCTGATCTCTCTATCCCATCATTTCATCATCTCTCTCCCCTATCATTGCATCATCTCTCTACGGTCCAAGCTCTAATAAAGGCATCACACTTTTAAAACCTCGCTGTGATGGAGCCAGCAGAGCTTGTGTTCTTGGTTGGTTTAACTTTTTTAAGGGAAATATTGTACTTTGGCAAGGTAAAACGTGTAAAATAAATCCTGGTGTTTGTTGTACTCTAAAAGACCAGTGTGACATAAATGTGTAGCTTCTCTAACCTTCGCCCAGTTCCCCAAAAAGACCAAATATTACTCACTGACTTACAAAGCTGTTGCTATAAGTAGCAACATGAAACATGAATAATGTATATTTTCTCAGTCAGGACTTCCCCAAATTCATCTCAAGTGAACTCTCTTTAACAGACATTAAGCGCATTAAGAAGGGAGCTCTCTTTGCTGCATCTACATATGATGTATCATTAAAACATGTTCAATTTATAGTATATGTAAAGAAAATGATCAATGTTACATACTTGCCATCATCAGCATGAAAAGCCACAGACTGTGGGAGCCAGCCCGGCTGATGGTCCAGCTTATAGCACTGAGGAACCAAACCAACAGCAATCATTCCCCTCACTCCTGTATCAATGATGGTCACCTGCAAAGAGCACAGGTTCAATTATCGCTGAGACATAATGAAGGATGTCTTAAACTGTGGTCATTTCAATTTGAAGACTGTCATTATATTCTACAAACAACCTGATATTCCGAGGCGTAAGCATCAAAACATAGCCAGTAGCTTTCGATATTTAAGTTTCTGATTAATAATCCATTTTTTTCTTCCTCTGATACATCTCAGGACACCAACCTTGAATTTAAAAGACTTTACCATCCAGCGCCACAACTCATGAACTACTCATTACATCATGTGCGGGAGGCTTTTATACAGAGACAGCATTAGCAGAACAAACGATGTTGAGACAGAGGAAGAGGAGGTGGATTTTATCAGAATTGCTTTTGCTTTTATCTTATTTTGGTGGTTGTTGTCAGACAAGGGTGACTCAGCCCCTGAGATAAATTAAATAATGTGTTATGTTCACCAAGAAATTGGTTTTAAGCAAGCAAAGTAACCATGTTTTTAAAGCCAAGACTACTTTATATTTCAATAAAAAACAGACCACAAAGAGTTTACAGCCATACTAGCTGCTCTGTGAAGCTGTAATTAGACACAGTGATGCTTTGAGCTAAATGCTAATGCTAGCCAGGCAACACGTTCACAATGACAACACTACCATACTGAGAAATAGCAGGTTTGTTTACCATCATCAGTTTAGCATGTTAGCGTGCAAATATTTGTTAATTAGCACGGTAAAGTTGATGGGAATGTCTTTAGTTTTGCAGGTATTTAGTCATAAACTTAAAAGTATTGGACAAAAATGATTGGAAATACTTTTGATGCTGGTGCTGTCAGGGGCTCACCAAATCAGAGGGATTCATTCTCTGCAGACGGTGAATGTCTGCACAAAATTTCATGGCAATCCATCTAATAGTTGTTGAAATATTTCAAAGTGGTGAACCACAGTCTACCTCCTAGTTAAAGCTTTACAGACTTTATGGTGGGAAAATCACACAAAGTTACATAAAACTTTAAAAATGCCCACTTGAGCGCTGCAGATTTTCACTTGATGTTAGACTTTGCTTTTGGGTTGACACTGCTTCTCTTTTCACTTTCCAAACCAACCTGAAACTACATAGTATCTCTTTGTTCAACGTTGCATGTTGGTTCAAAGTAAAAACCCATAAGTAAAGAGCTGGCCTTCACAAATGTTATCATAACTGAATACTGAGCGTATGACATCATCCCTAGGGAGCCCTACATGGACACACTGCAATCGGAGCACTGCTGGCAAATCCAGGGCAAGTAGAATAGGAAACTTTTAAGTTCTTTCCCATGACCTCAACGCCGGTCTCCAGAGAGTGAGAAGTAATACGTCCCTATTTTCTGTGTCAGTGTAAAACATGCAGATGAACCCAAAAATCCACAATCAGCATCCACTTTACTATTATTCATTAACTCATACTGTATGCCGATGTACGCAAATGGCTTCCTCCCTCCTCCTACGTGACTCCCACAAAGTGAGTCACAATAATGAAACACACGTAAGTATAAAGGTTGAGAGGGTTAGTTACTGTTTCACTTACACGTCAGACCGGGACAGGATGTGTTTGTTAGACATGTTTGAACATGAGAAACATCTGAGAAACAGTCACTGTCTTCAGATGTTTTTGCAATACGGTGCCTACATTACCGAGAGCAGTGAAATAAACAAACCATCATATGTAATGACCTGCGATTTATTTGGCTACGTGAAACCAGTGGAGATAAGAAAGTCCCTGTATGAGATCAGTGTTAACAGCGTGAATGTGTGTGACCCTGACATTTACTGAGTTTCTGGACTAAACCTCTTCCTATTTCTCATCTGGTACAAAAATATATTGTTGTCTCCTCTTAACCACAAGGCTTGACAACAAAAAAGATACAATCAAAAGACATCGTGACATATTTTCTTAACCCTAACTTCTTAACTTAACCCCGACATCAAAGCTGAAAAGGTGCAAACAGAAGTGAATCTGTTTAATTATAAAAAAAAAATGATTATTTCTATTACCTGTGCTGACAGCACTTCTGACTTTGATCTAAATCATTCTGGCACATCGGCAATGACTTTACGTCCAGTCCCATTACACAATGTAAAACTAGCTGCCAAGTCATTCAACAAATCTATTTCCAAGCTGAAAGATCTCAGATAAGTGCTGTTTCCAGGAAATGTCAAGATTTCTTTTATGGCTCAACAACAGATGAAGGCGAGCAGTCAGACACAATGGCCTGCCATGTCTCCTCTCATCACCAGAACAAGGACATTGTCCTAAATCCATAATAAATACTAGTGCTAGAAGGTTAACACTATCATCACAATCTATGAATATACTTTATCACTACTATCACTAGCACTGCTGACAGTTTATAAATATACATTAGACTGTTTTTTATCAAATAAAAGTATTATATTTATTCACTTACAAGCTGAAATATTAAGAATGATGCCTTGTGGTTGAAAATGGTTTTAGTTACTTACAGCTCTGCATTAGACATACAGACATTAACCTCTGTTAAAATTAGCATGTGGTGTGGCTCTTTGTTTAGTACTTCACAGATATTTACATAGTAATATTAGTAGTATAGACTTATGTATGCACAGCTTATCTGCTCTTGATTAATTCCCAGAACTTTTCTCTTTTATATTAAATTGGAACAAAGTGACTTAAAAGCAATTCTGAGCCATTGGGCTGTTTTATCACATCACATTCTTCTGAAGTTGTGTATGTGTGATAAAGGACATACAAGAATTGAGAGTCATCAAAAGTGTCCTGGACTGTCAAAATAAGACAGCTGCGCAGTCAAATACAGAATATAATATAATATAACTGGTGAGAATGACAGACTTGTTGGACTTAGGGTGGACTCATGAACTGACAATTACACTGGCAGTTAATCAGCAATAAAGCTGCTTCGACCCGGTACATAAAACCACCCAGCTCAGGTCATTTGGGTTCATCAGTGAAACACTATACTCATAAGCACACAAAATACACAATTATTGTTAATCAAGCAAATTAATCAAACCACTATATAACTATATATACACACGTGATTTTCTGAATAGTCTGTGTAATTCTCCAGTGTCGTGGACTTTCAGTCCATGATTAATAATCATGGACTGAAAGGACATTATCAACTCTTACTTCATAATAGCGATTTCTTCTTGACAACGGTCTGGCCGCAACAAAACAACCAACTTCATCTGAATTCCCATGATACCTATAAAGATCCAAAAAAAGAAAAACAAAATATTACAATAATCACCACCTCTGTCAAAGTGGAGTGCCTATTCAGCAGGCGAAGGAAGCGCTCTGGCATATAATGAGGGACGAAACCACACGACAAGTCTGTGTCTCCAGTTCAGACTGGTGGCACTGCTCATCACTGTTACCTGAGTATGTCTCCATCTCTCAGCATCCTTTTGAGCCGCTCCCGATATCGCACTGCTCGCACTTCACGAATTTCTCGAATCCGCCTCCTCCAGTTCAGAAAGCGATAATGAAGGTTTATGTCGTCCATGTCTGAAAATCATTACAATCTAGCACACAGGAAAACATAATAAGATTTATTACTGCTTTAGAAAATATAAAAAACAACTAACATTACATACTTATCTTAAGATAAAGGGCTATTTTTAGTCTATCTATTTATGCATATAATTTGTGCTTGATGATTGTTTAAGACTGAAATATTCAAAGAAATGACTCCAATGTTTGTTCAGTCAATGGCCATAAAAGCCTACAGATAACAGAGACTGCAGTAACAACACAGGTCCTCCTTAAAAAATACAGCAAACATCTTTGACCACAACATGATTACAACTGTTGCCTGCCAACAAGAAGGACCTGGCTTTGAACCTTAGGCCAAACCCTTCCCGTGAGGAGTTGGCGTGTTTGTGTTTTTCCATTTACGTTTAATCCCACATTCCAAAGACAAGCAAAGGCCTGGACAGTGACTGTACACTGCCAACAGGCATGAACGTGAGTCCCCTATTTGTGTTAGTCCTGTGATGGTCAGGTGTGTCCCTTTGGGTGTCTTCCACCCGATGTGAACTGTGACTGACTCAAGTATAGACTGGCTCTTCTGTTAATGCCGTGTGTGAACGACACCTAGACGCAGTGATGAGTTTCTGTTATTTCTCTACCTGAATACTGCTAACTTAATTCTGATTAATACCTCATACTGAACTCAGTGCCTCACTGGGATATGGTGCAAGCAATGATTATTTTCATTAATGATTCATCTGCTAATTATTATCTCAATGAATCATTTAGTCTATTAAATGTCAGTCCAGCACTTCAAAACCTGAATTTTCAGAATAGAAATAAAAAAAAAGGAAAATAGAAAGAAAGATGAAATGATGAAAGAGTTAAATAAAAACAGTAAATCTGCAACCTCAAACACAGGAACTAAAGGAATTACTGGCTTAATAAATGACTTCAACGATTAATCTATTATCAAAATATAATATATTAATATAATATATTTCTAGCAATCAACTATCGATAAAGCCTTGGACTGGTGGACTGAATGTAATTTATTATGCTTTTTCCTGTGTCAGGTTATGCAATCAAAGCCAGGGCCAATCAGGTGAACGCACAGGTTTTGTTTTTCCATGTAAAGTCATAACTCAGCACACAACTACTTCACTGTGGGGATTGTTTTTGTTTTCCCCCCCCGCCTAGTATTAAATGTTTTGTTATAGAAAGCCAGTAAAATGTTGTCTGTTCCTTTTAAAAGTGGAAATGTGAAAGTAAATGATGGGCTCGTGTTTACAAAGTGGTGATGAAACCAAGCTCCGGAACAATTACTCTGTGACTGAATAAAATAGTTAGGGTTATAACTAGTAATGTGTTCCAATGATGTAAACAAATATGTAACCTCATATTTTCATTTATTGTGTGTTAAATTCTCCGATATAGCCATTTACGAGCCTGCCCTTAACGCAGCATCACATTTCCCAAACTACAGGCAGGACTCTGCTGGCCGGCTAGCTGCTTTCAGCGGTACAACATTATCGCGCTGTGTGGCTCAAAATGTCCGTAAAACGTGACTCTTCCTCAGTTTATCTACAAAGTATTAAACACCTCTTTGTCTCATGTTGGTTCCTTACTGTTTTAAAACTTGTATCGCGTCGTCCTTCGGTTTTTCTTCCAATTTTAAGGAGGTGAAGTCTGTCACTTTATGTCCAACCTGCGCTGTCGGAAGTCCCGCCCCCTCAACCAATCACATCACAGGATAAATACAGTGTCTTTAACCTGTGCACTGCCGCGTGTGTGCGTGTGTGTGCGTGCGTGCGCGTGCGCGCGTGTGTTGTTTAAATGTCTTTTATCTTTTAGTTAGTGTTTTTAGATGTGCCCTTTACATATATTTTACATGAGTACACATATATAGACTGTAAAAAAGTCCTTGTAAGATCTAATTGTTTTTTCTTTTCTTATTTTATGCAAACAATATTGTAAACATGAACCGTTTGGTAGAAGCTTCTTATATGTTTGTGTTTATATTATGAAAACAGTGAGACTTACTTCACAGTCACATTTAATTAAGTACTGTTTCACTTTGGGAAAAGCAAGAACGACTGTAGCTAAAGTTGTGCTTTTTAGTCACAATAAAGAAGATCACAACTACATCCTCCGGGCAGTAATCTGTGAGAACCATAAAGCATACACTCTTAATGTATATATGTATGTCCAGCAAAGGGGAAAGGGAAGGGGAAAGTGGTGGGCAGTATGGAGGACATCTTCTATCACAGTGTAATTGTATGTTGTGATACAATTTCTAGAAATTAAATTATAAGTCAAGTGTGTGACATTTGGGAGGATCTATTGGCAGAAATGTGATATAATATTCATATGTATGTTTGTTGTTAGGCCATGTTCCTACAGTAGCCTTTCAACAGCCACCTTAGTTTCTCCCACGCACTTGGAATGAGACGGTGAGGCAAGGGGTTGTTATGTACAACTACACTGCTTGAAGCCACTAAATCCCATACACTGGCCTTTTAAATTAATTGAAACTGAAAAAATGAATGAAAATAAAAGACCAGGTGGAACTGTTTATTGTCACAAAATAAAGATATCTCATCACATGCATGCAAATAAATCCTACGGGTTCAGTATCGCCCACAGAGGCCTAATACATCCCAAGGTATTAAGGGATAAATCGTTCAGATCAAGTAGTCTTACCTTGACTTAGGAGATATTTGAGTCATCATAGTCTTTCTATCCCTCTTTATTGGCGATGTTTGTAATTAAATTGTATTTGAATCTCAGAATGAAGTGGGCGCAAAATTAATATATCAAGTTAGAAAACAGGCTGTCAAATTTTTTAAGATCGTGTCTTCTAATTTAATCTGTTTGTGACTCACAGACAGTGGAATTTGCAGGGTGGGACTTTTTGCTTGTGGCTATTAATGTCTTAGTCATCCAACCTTGAGTGGCACTCCTTCAGCCTCTCAGTGTTGGCCGTTTCCTCAGAATCTTTAGCCCTGCAGTTAGAGTCTCTGTAAACACGTTCTCTGAACAAAGTGTTTGTTTCGTGGTTGCTATTTAAAGAAAAGTCATAACAATGTTGAAAACAAGGATGAAAAGGGTGGAGGTAATGAAGTCCTTTACCCCTGTTACTATAATTCACAGTACTTGCACTGTTATGAGTATTTCATCTTTTTTTACTGTATGTATTCATTTCAAATCATGCTCACTATAATCACCATAAACTGCACAGTACATGAGCAAAAGAAAAAAAAAGATTATGTAGCACTGTTTGCCTTATATTTAATCATCAATGTCCTTGTATTCGTTTTGTATGTAAAATCCGCAAAGTAACAAAGTAATTTGCAGCTGTCAGAGAATTATAGTGGATTAAAAGAGGTATAATATTTGCTTGTGAAATGTAGTGAAGAACACGTATAAACTAGCATCAAGTCAAAGTACTCAAGTAAATTACAGCTACTGTAAAATTACAGTAAATTCAGTTCTTGAATAAATGTAATTTGTTAGATTTCACCACTGCTGGCTTCACTTATTCATTTTATTTTGTACTTTTACTCATTTTAATTTTCAGCAACATCAATTGACTGATGTATAATAAATTCTGTATGGCAAATATTCAAATTAATGTTTCTATTTCATGATGAACAGCAGTAATTTTAAAACTTACAAGGTCAATTTCTTGTCTGCGGAGCCCTGATTGGCTGGTTACACAACAGTGTCACCTCTGTAAATAAATGACCCCCTCAGTGGGGGAAAAGGAAAAGCAATGGAGGAGCATATACAGCAATCAGTTTGGGATTCATGCCGCTGCAGAAAAACATTACTATCCTGCAAGATGACAGACAACAAATGGTATGAGCATGCGTGAGTGTGTGTGTGTGTGTGTGTGTGTGTGTGTGTGTGTGTGTGTGTGTGTGTGTGTGTCAGAGAGCAGGGGAAATGGGGTGTGCTCAGCTTTGTGGAAATGAGAGGGAAAACTAACATTCTCCATCACGTACCCTCCCATACCTTTCCCCACTGGTTGGGGCTCTTTAAAAGCTGCTGCAAGTGGTGTCTGTCAGCCTCATTATCACTTTGTCTTGGCTTGAGGGAATTACTATCCACCTTTCAACACAGACAAGCACAGCACTCGGTGGACATAATCTAAGATCAGAAATCCTGATACTAAACAATCAGGGAGTCCGCTGTAGAAGGCTGGACTGTTACCATCTACCAGTGGACAACTTCCAGTGTGAGATGCTTCTGTACCTAAACATCCTGGTGCTGCTCCTCCTGCAGCCGGCTTTGACAAGCCCAGTGCCGCTGACCACCCCATCCAGAGATTGTTCCACGTGTAAATCAAAGTCCACACAGCCGCCTGCAGATTTAAACACCACCGCTCTGGCTGTTGGAGAACCATGTGGGGTCTACACTCTGAGCTGTGCCCATGGTCTACGCTGTGCACCTCAAGAGGATGAGCCGAGGCCCCTCCGTGCCCTGCTAGAAGGCAGGGGAGTCTGCAGTAACGCCAGCAGCATCAGCCCAACTGAAAACGTCCAAACGGCAGGTAAGGGTCTGGAGGACGATGTGAGTGAATGAATGAAACAGAGTCAGTCTGGCTTCAGATGAGGTTTATGGTTGGACTGGATTTGGATTTTCAACACCAACACCGACCATTTGTTGATTTGTTTGTCTTCCTTGCTTATCTTCCTGTAATGTGAACATGAGTTTGTGATAGTCAGGAGAGAAACACACCTGTGTTTACACAAGAGTTTCTATTTTCAACTGCACAGTCCCGGACAAGCAGATACAGAAAAACATCTGTAGACAGTAGGCTACATGAGTGACTGCAGTATAACCATTGATTTGTTTTAAAGATGTTTTTACTCTTTATCTATTAGTGCTTTTTTGCTTGAAAAACAAAAAAACAAAAACAAATCTAAAAGAAGTTTTTGAGAAGTTCATAAAACAGAATAATCTGAGCTGACCTCGCAATGAAATTAAATTAATGTTGTTTGATTTAAGCAGGTTTACACAGTTATGAATGATCAATACTAAATGTGTTTGTCTTTATCTGCTCCTAGACCCAGCACCCACTGAGGATCCAAATGAGGTAAACATCCTGTTTATCTAAAGACATTAAAAAACAACTCATGAATTACAGTCAGGCTTACACTTACATGTATTTTCTGAACTCTTCCTACAGGCTCCATGTCGTAAACTGCTTACTACACTTATCAAAGGTCTTGACGCCCATTTATTTAACTCAGAACATGACATCTACATGCCCAACTGTGACAAGCGTGGTTTCTTCAGAAAGAAGCAGGTGAGTCTGCAAACAAGATGAATTCCAGAAAATGATTAAAATCTTGACTTGTATAGACAGGTGCTTGTATTTCCAGCAGCATAAACAGATCTATTTGTCTTTTGTGTTTGTGCAGTGTTGGTCGTCTCGAGGAAAGCGACGTGGCAAGTGCTGGTGTGTGGATCAGAACGGCATGCCAGTCCCCTCAAACACCAAACAGAGGGGCAGCCTGAGCTGTTAAAATGCATGAAGCCTGGACTGAAGCAGGGTGAAGCGCCATTACCGATATGAGATAAAGATGAAGGAACACCGTACAGAGTCTAAAGGAGCTCTACACACATCTCACATTTCATTCTCCACCAGACAGAAGCTGCTTCACAATCAGGTGTAACTCTGTCTCCTTGCGCCCTCTGCTGAACTTATTAGGACTGTATTAATTAGACATTCCTCTCACATCTGCTTATATTACAGTAGATGTAGATTTATAGGAACGTGTGAGTTAATCCAGCCAAGTGTCACATTGAAAGAGACAATTTGTAGTAACCTGAACTGTCTTAACTCTGCAATAACTTATTGTTAAAGTCATCTTTATGTTTCAACATTTTAACTCCAATAATATTTCACGCCATCCACCAAGTTTCAGAAACAATATGATTTGGATCATATATCATATTTATAAGTACAGTATTTCTTTTTAACTTTGAAAGCACTCTAACTGTGTTACTGTAATTGCTGTACATAATATCTAGATGTAATCCTATTTATGTTACTTTGATACTCTATTTATGTTAATATTGCTGGTAATTTGAATAAGTAATTTATCAGTGGTTGCCTGTACGAGCAGACACCTAACAGTATTTCAAAAACCTGAATTTCTAATGCAGAATGAATTAGATTGGGGCATTATCATTATGAGTTTCTTTTTTAGGCATTCATCAAGAAAGTTGGTAGTAGGTGTGTTGTTTAAAAAAGGTTAAGACTGACACTAATGGGCAATATTGCAAACGGGTCCATGAGGGACTTTTACTGATGCTTTGTGGATTTTGTGCATTTAAAGATTGTTTTGTTACCTTTTTTAAAATAAAAATTACTTTTCTCAAGAAGGAAGTCCATCTAGTTCTTAAAACTAACATCTGGGATTAAGAGAATTAGAAGAATTAGAAGAAGAAGAAGGCACAGCTCGAATCTCCAACTCTGTATTTATTGTGAATCGATGTAAGTTACATAGAGGGCCTAAAGTAACTCATATTAACATATCTTTCCTTATTTTAGGTGTTGTTGCTTCTTTTCACAAAATTTTAAAGCAAGGAGATTAAAGGTAGTTTACAATCAAACTCTATAAACAAATAAAGTATACATTTTCCTATAATAGCAATTTCCATTTTGAATGAGGTGTTTATAGTCTGACTATCTGCTTTCTGTAATCATAGTGAATCTAATTGGCTGCAATAAAATCATGACAAAAGTTCATTTTCTGTTTAATTATAGTTGTAGAAAGCAGCATCGTGATTGTTATAACTTATGCAACATTGAGACTGTGATCACACTTAGCAGGCAAATAGAAACAATTTCATTTTGCAGTGGTGTTGTTTGCCTCTTTAAAAATCTTTTGGGGGGGGAGTTTTTCTGAGGACAGAGGGTGTCCTATATAAACTGTACAGATCATGAAGCCAAAGGATTTTTGATATTTATATAAATAAAACTGACTCTTCAGGCCTCAATGATTCTGCAAATGAAGCAATACGAGAAGGAAAAATAATTTTCTGGCTGAAGTGCTCATAGCTCAAGTCCAAATAGAGGCCCTAACCTTAGTAGACGTTCCAAAACTTTTTCCTTCAGGGACCCATTTTCTATCACTTATTAAACTGACTTCCCCTGCTTAAGTGATATATTTTATAGATATTTCATATTATATTCAAAACTGTTCAACTAACCCAAACAGTGCACTCAGTAACTGCAAAAAGTTTGTGTAAAATAAGTGATTTGGATTAATTTTGAGCAGATTATTTCCTATTTAGCAAACTCGTTTTATATATCCTACATACTTAAGTGTCTTTTTTGACAAATTCTATGTTTTCTGCTCCCTGATGCTTGGCTATCGTTCTATTAGACAATTTACAGTTCACTTTACATTTACATTTCTTCACAGGAGTGAACCAAATGCTGACATATAGGCCTACTGTGTTACATTAATGAACACACACACACACATATATAGTGTGAATTAATATAAACACAGTTTGTAATTGGTTCTCTGTGTAGATTGTATTTGTTTGGACCATATTCATATAGAAAGGCATATAATCATGTTATTTTCTAAGATTTCTTGCGCCCTTTTAAATCAAGAAGGCCTTGTGACCCGCCCATGAAGCTTTGGTGACATCTAGTGGGGGTCCCGACCCCCAGGTTGAGAACCACTGGAGTAGACAACAAATATATTGAATATAATGTAACTGAACACAAAACCAGTTCCAATTACAGTTTCACAAAGGTATCATGTATTTCTATTATATTTTTAAAGACATACAGGGACCTTATTATCATTATTGCTATTGTTATTATTATTATTATAAGGCCTATTATAAGTCTGGTATAATTGTCAAATACCATGTTAACGCATTCTTATAAATCAGTCCCACATGCACATGCAAAGACGACCAGAAAGCCTGTTGTTGACAGTGCTGCTGCACCTGTTTAATGCCACTGTTGTTGCTCTGGATCGACGCACAGCGCAGGAGGTTGCGGCTGCAGAGAGTCCAACAAGGCGGACTAACTTCAGGCTACTTTACATAAACAGGACGCAGCAGATGACCAGTGGCCAACCCTGCCCGTACACACTGAGACACGGATACACGGGTGGGAGAGTGCGATGTCTTCTCCGGGCGCCTCCTCCAACCCTCTGAACACCCTGGCACCCAAAAGGAAGACGAAAAAGAAACACTTTGTGCAGCAGAAAGTGGAGGTTTTCCGAGCCAGTGACCCCGTGATGAGCGTCCTGATGTGGGGAGTCAATCACTTGGTAGGTATGTGCATGGCATGAGTCTGTTTCTATAGGTCTCTCTCTCTCTCTCTCTGTGTGTGTGTGTGTGTGTGTGTGTGTGTGTGTGTGTGTGTGTAAATGTGTTCATTAACTATTAACCCATTGATCATGCGCAGATTAATGACCTGAGCCAGGTGCCTGTACCTGTCATGCTGCTTCCAGACGACTTCAAAGCCAGCACCAAGATCAAAGTGAACAACCACCTCTTCAACAAGTACTGTGCTCCTCTCAGCTCTGTCTGCCTGACTGTAGGAACCTTCATCCTGCTTCCTGTGATTTCCACAGATTTATGTGGCTCTTATGATTTGTTTGCCTGCATGAGCTTATCAGAAATTGCAGACCCCATTTAGAGAACGACAATGGTTTTCTACCCTAACAATAGCTTTAAAACTACCACAGCTACAGCTATTACCACTGACAATGACATTGAACGAAGAAGAAAAGATGAAAGACATAATAATCTAGCTTGTCTAGACAATCTGCACAATGTAATGTTGTCAGGATTATATGTAAAAGAATGATATTGTATACCAGAGTTGGAAAATGCAGCACAATTTGCACCCAGAGAGCTGTTTCAGTGGTTGTGTAACAACCAATAAGTCTCAGACAAACTAAATTGATGAACTCATCAGAGAATGTTGTTTGGCTCACAGAGGATGAGCGTCAGTCAGGCAAAGTGTCCGACTGAGGCTGTTTAAAAATAATAACCATTTATGAAAAGTGCGCCATACACTGTGTCTGCTGTGAGGTTCACTTTCTATACGGATGGAGTCTAGAAAACTTGAGTGGCTTTCAATAATCCTTTAATCCATTCAGGAATCCAGGTCGTGTAAAGACTTATAAACAGAGGTGGGCTGAACAATAAAAGATGTTTTCTCAAGTTAAAGTGCTGTTGCCTTAGTGAGATTTTACTCAAGTGATTCTTCATGTGGATGCTAAAGAAGAATTTGGTCAATTAGTTTCAACAGAAAATAACCAATGATTCTTGCCTCCACCATGAAACACACATGTTTTAGTGGCATTAATGAACACACACACATATATAGTGTGAATTAATATAAACACAGTTTGTAATTGGTTCTCTGTGTAGATTGTATTTGTTTTGACCATATTCATATAGAATGGCATATAATCATGTTATCCTTCGATCACATGATTTGTACATGTTACTTCTGTGAACTGGAATATTATATTTGTGCTGTATTTAAAAAAGATATAGTGAGAATCAGAGAGGGAAAACGTTTCATGTTAAACCTAATTATCTGAAGTTGTGGATATTTAATGAATTAATGATTATTTAATGGTCGATGTGGTATAGCTCCCAGCTGCTGATTAGATGATGTGTGAAGACAGTAAATTAAACTGTATTATTCTTATTTTATGTGTTTAAACTTCTTCTGTTCCTCAGGGAGAATCTTCCAGGACAGTTCAAATTTAAAGAGTATTGTCCACAGGTATTCAGAAACCTGCGAGAGCACTTTGGTATCGAGGACCAAGATTACCAGGTATGATTATAAACTCACTGCAAACCAACATTTGATTGTGCAAACTTTCATATAAAGTCAGACACTCATCTGTATGTACTGGTCAGCTCCCTGAATTTGCATTTCTTTGTGTGATATTTGCATGTGCCAGGTGGCACACAGTCATCATCCATTCTGCTCAGTGCACATTTGCTTAACACACAATTACTTTGTGTGAGGCTTACTGCACATGCTCTTTAAAGTATGTGCCAATGAAAGTTTTATTTCTGCACATCTACCAGAGTGATGCAAGAAATGTCTGGAAACATAGTGTGCAGCAGCACAAAATACAGCTTTTTATGTTCTAACATAAAAATTCAGCTTTTTATGTTCTAACACTTTTTATGTTATATTTTCTTTCAAAATGTCCTGTCTGTTTATATTATAAATTATGTTTCAGAGAAAACGGACACCGGTGCAATGGTATGTGCATGTATTGTACAGCTGATGTCACATGTTGCCAGTGCTCAGAGATGCCGTCCTCTCTCTCACCAACAGGTGTCTCTGGCCCGCAGCCCTCCACTCAAAGATGAGGACGGGCAGTGCGTGGGGCTGCTGCTGACGTCATATGACCGCACTTTGGTAGTTAAAGAAATCTCCAGCGAGGAGGTGGAGGGAATGCACAACATCCTCTCTGAGTATCACCAGGTAGGACTAACACAGGGGTGGAAAGCCTTGCTTCTGGTTCGAGGTTTAAATAAATTTTTCATTGTGAGCAAAACATGATCTGAACCCCACATTTTAGTGAGCTTGTCTATTTTTTTGTTTGTGAATAACTCCAGTCAGTAAAAATCAGAACAGACATTCCATTACTCACATATTTCCCACATATTTTGTCCTGTGTCTTTTGTACAGCAGGAGAAAATGTTCTCTTTCTGTGATAACCCTGGTTGCCATGGCAAAGGTTTTCATCAAAGCTGAAAGAGGGGTGTTTGACTTCAAACAAAGAGTTTTTCTTCTGCAAGTAATGATGCATGACAGAGTTCTTGTTTTTACATTTAAATGTATCTATAAAAATAACTAATATAAAGCAAAGACACGCTGTCATGAGTATACGTGTATAAAGAGAAGACTGATGGGAAACGTTTTATGGGCAAGATGCACATTTAACTACACAGAGAATAATAACTGAATTTACATGTTGGCAAAATAAACACAATATTGGAGTTTTGCTTGTGTATTGTGGCACAGTGAAGTGTATCCTAACAGACATTTTTTCTACAGCAGACATTTTGACTTGTCATAGTAGAAAAGGCAATTACTAACAACATTAATGATGACTTTGTGTCCCAGTCAGTCATGACAGTGTGACAATAAAACGTCATGTCCTTTTCTTACTGTGACATGCTAAAATGTTTTCTGTGAAATAGGCCCATACGCCAAGTGAAAAGGTTTGAAGACAAGCCCTGTCCCATAGGAACCAGAATTTGACACAGTTAAGACACACAGTTGACAAAGTTAAGGTCCACTTGTTAGCTTTTTCCATATCCTTGAAGCACATTTCACAAGTCTTCATCAGTGGATGTTGTTTGCTAAGACTAAACTAATTTCTTACGCTGAAGAAAAACGTGAAAAATGGTTGAAAGCTGCAGAGAAAAAAAAGAAACTATGACAAACTTACCTCTGATGTTTTAATGCTTATTTAGACAGCAGGAACTAAACAGGGTTGATTACAGGAGGTGCATTTAACTACAGATGACAGCATTTTCATTTATGCACTGCATCATGTCTCTGGGCTGAAGCATCTCCTTTATTTTCCCATCATTCATTGTCTGTTCACTGCTGTTGTCTTCTAGCATATTGTCACCTGTCACGGCAATACGCTGCTCCCTCAGTTCCTGGCCATGTACAGAGTCACTGTGGAGAGCGAGGACACCTACCTGTTAGTTATGAGGAACATGTTCAGCCACAGACTGCTTGTACACAGGAAGTATGACCTCAAGGTAAATCCTGCAGGAGGAGTCTGTAGTGTTTGGTCACCTCATGTCAATGTCATCAAGTATTGGGATATTTTTTTATTTCATGAACTTTCATTATATCACAGTTTTTTCCCCAAATGAATTTCTTCAGTCTTGTAAAGACGTAAATAATGTCCCCATGTATTTATGAAAGGAAGAGAAGGAATGCTAGAACAACTTGAAAGGCACCATAATCACGTCACATAATTCTACATATAGTGGCTTTAACACTCATGAATTCAAGTAATGGCAAACCCAAAACCACCTCAGTACCAAGCAGACTGTTGGGTTTACAGCTGTACATATATTATGAAGACTCCGACTTTAAGGGCTTGTAATTGGTAAGGATTAGACAGGATAATGGTTATTACTGTTAGTGACTGCAGGGGTGTTTTCTTTCCTCAGGGGTCCCGGGTGTCTCGTGAAGCAAGTTTTAAAGAGAAGGTGAGATCAAATTAAGGTAAAGGCTGTGCGACAAGCTCTAGCTAAAGTCTACTTTCTGTCCTATAGCTGTGTTTATTATTGGCAGTTTACTGAAGGGATGTAGTCAGATTTGTTTTCAATAACAAGCAAGTGTTGTTTTTGGTGTAATTTTACTCAGACTCATTGAAAAGATAGTGTATTAGATCCTACATGGGTAGACATGTATCTCCATTGAGTTTGTTACCTTTAATTGTATGGTGACCTGGTCAGATATTTCATAAAACAATGGAAAGAATGTAAAAAAAAAAAAAAAGAAAAGGTTTGGCACTGCTACTGTTTTTATGAAAGAAATGTTAATGATAACCTTAAAGACAGGTTCAGTATTTGTTATACCACTAAAACACAGTTTGTTATACAGTTACTGCACTCCCATTAAATGCTGAATCTTAGATTGAACATTAGAAAAAGCTCCTCCAGAGCCACAGAAGACATTACACCAGTGTTTTCACCAGCTGATTGATAGTACAGTTTTGAAGAGTAAACTGACTTTCACTTGTAAAATGTCAGTGCTTTTGATTCATATTTATAAAAACATTTATAAAAATTAGCAGACCCTGGTAAGTAAGATAATTATAGTGAAATCAAACTAAATGTGTAACTGTGTTTGCTTAACAAGGACAACTTAACAAACGAGCTTGAATTGGCTGCAGCTGTGCTATCAGTCAGTCTGAAGGTGTATATTTGGGCTGTATCTCTAACAACAAAGCACAGAAATATACTTTTTGAAATGCTTGACTGAGGGCGGAGTGTGAAATTGCGTCTCCTATATTGTATCTAATTGTTGTTGTTTGTGCATTGTGACAAATGGGATTTTCTTATTAGATTTTCAGAAATGTTTTTACAGAAGAAAATCACTTGGAAATAGATTTTAAAATCCCACCAGAACCCCTATGACCTCGATAAAAAGAAGAAGAAATAGCTGGTTGAGTGGATGCTGTTTAAAAAACTGCAGAGCAGTGGAAACCTTTGATCTTTTCAACTGTGTTGATTGGGAAAACAATATTTGGGGTAATATTATTTGACTTTTATGCCACTGGAAACGGGATGGCTGATTGTGTTTTAATGAGAAAAATGCAAATGAATATTGTGATTTCTAGCCTAAATGTAATTTCACGGATGTTGACCTTCACTATGTTTCCAGGTGAAGGAGCTGCCTACGTATAAAGACGTAGACTTCAGGAATAACATGCAAAAAGTTTACGTCAGTGATGAGGAGAAGGAGAAGATCTTGGACAAGCTCAACAGAGATATTGAGGTAAGAAAACAATGTTGGGGAAGCATGCAGCCATTGTTTTCTCTGACATAAGTTGTGTGTGTGTGTGTCCTCTTGCTGCAGTTTCTGGTGTGTATGAGGATCATGGACTACAGCCTGCTGCTGGGCATCCATGATGTGGAGCGAGCTGAGAGGGAGGAGGAGGAGATGGAATCTTCCTATGAAGAGGAAGAGGAGGATGAGAACGACCTGGCTCCTGCTCCGGGCTCCACCTCCCCTGAGGGTATCGGTGGCTACATGAACTCCTTCAAACCCATGGGTGCCGGGGAGTTCGACCCTTATGTGGATGTGTATGCTATTCAGAGCGCTGTAGGTGAGTCCTGGCAGCTGAGATCTCTCTGGTGAATGTAAGTAGGTTATACTGTAAGAGCCCTATGCTGTAAAAGACCTCAATTTCATGCTGGGCTGCAGCAGATAAAAATATTCGTGCAGATCAATGTCACTCACCAAATGCTGTGAATCACTCCCATGTAGGTGCACCCCAGAGGGAGGTGTATTTTATGGGTCTGATTGACGTGCTGACGCAGTATGACACCAAGAAGAAAGCTGCTCACGCTGCCAAGGCTGTCAAACACGGGGTGAGAGACCAGCAGTTCTTTAAAGGGATTGGTTAGCGCCGCCTTTAGATCTCTATCCTGCGAAGTGTAAAGGGTTGCTTTCATTTCCCAATCAGTTATGTCTGATCGAATGTGTGTTTCACAGGCTGGAGCAGAAATCTCAACAGTTCATCCAGAGCAGTACGCGAAGCGTTTCCGGGAGTTCATCACTAAGATCTTTGCCTAGTTGAAGGATTCAATCCAGGCTACCTTCATCATCTAATACAAGAGGAGTCTCACTGTGCAATACTAATGTCATCTCAAATCAACATCAAGAAGCACTGAAAGTTTCTAAATGATTTACCCTCCATATCATTCTGTACTGCAAGATGGACTGTGCATTTATTCTGATGAAAAATTGGAATTTGCAGGAGAAAAGTCTTCTAAGTTAACACCTCTGACATAAACATATTCTTCCTAGTGGCCAGTAGGGGAGGAGATGATGAGAAAAACACATTTTGTCAGCACATTCATTTTGTTGTGTCCAGCTTTACTTCAACGGAGGTCTCACTTACTGCCACCGGGGAGAAAATATCTTAAATATTAATTTGTGACAAACTCTTTTCCCACACTTGACACAAGAACATAAATTGGGCAAATCTACAGGGTCTGAAATATGAACAATTCAATGATAATCTCCTCTGCAGCACCCGTTTGGGATTTAAGATGTTAAGTCTGATGTTATATAATACACGAAATGTAGCCAAAGGCAGATTTAAAGTACCATCTATTGAAAACCCATTTTCATGAAGAGTAAACAAATATACCAGACTGGCAATTTCATTAGAAATTCCTCAGCTTCTGGTCACAGTTTCACTGTTTTGTTTTCCTTATAAATAAGGTAAATAAGTGCACATCTGGAATGATCTGTAATATACACAAAGACAAATATTCTAATTTAGTTTGTATTTTGGAAGTCAAAAACTAAAAAGTTTTACTTGCACATCACCAGTAGTGCTTCAGGGCAACATTCTTCTCAGCTCAGTGTTCAGTATTTATTTTGTTACAGCGCAGTGCCGTGTTAGCTTCCGGGGATGCTACACACAAGCTTGCATCATCTAAAAGGCACCACAACACACTAATTATTAAACTGTAAGTTGATCAAAGAGCTTTTATGTCAAATGCTGTAGCTTGGATCCAGCATCTTATTGTACGCCACTTGTTTTGCCTTTGAATGATATTAACTATTTAACAACATAATACCCACTTCAGTAACGTATCAAAGGAGTCACAAAGTTAAGATCGGTGTAACTTTAACAAGTGAATGCGACTAAAAGCAAAATGTGATGCAAAGCATCCCAGATCTAATGGTACATGTGTTCCTCTAAATGTATTCTCAGTGGTAAGGCATTCATTTTTGTCCGTATTTAGTCCGTCTCGTCTGTCCCAGTCCTCCTGGCACACATCCCTGAATCTCCTATGATTATCATGAGGATTTCACTTTTAGTAGCTGAGTGGACAAACAGGCAGAGGAGGGACAAGATTAGGAGAGACAAAGATTGTGAGAATAACTCTAATATATGCCTTTAACTAGTTCAAATTGTTTGTATCATAAGTACTCGCAGGGACTGGACATAAACTGACACAGCAGTCATACTTTGTTGGTTTTTTTAATAGAGTCCAGACTATTACAATGTTATTTTGAGTCAGGTTTTGTATTTAAAATACATCTTCAAGAGCCAAGGAATGGTCAAAACTGCACAAGCCTGATGATGATCGGTAAAAACATGAGGGCACAGAAGAAGGATGTAATAGCTCGTACTCCAAACTGGTTTTGTGCCTTTCATGCACATAAATTCTGGTTTGCAAATTAATCTAAATATATTTTTGTGAAATGTGATTTTAAAATCATTATGCAATTAATAAGTAGTTTCAGGTCAGATATATCAACCGTTTTCCATTGACCTCTTATACACTTCACTTTAAACAGGTCATAGCAAGCTAACATTAGTTTTGTCAGGTGTGAATTCAGTAAGCTCAACATGTGCAGTGTAAACTGATTTCATTTAAACATGTGTAAGACTATGCTGGACTTGAGCTTATAAGCAGCTCCAAGTGAAAGTGTGTAGTTAACTTAACCATCTGACAAACTTAAGATAACATATGCCCAGTTTACAGTAAAATAAATATGACTACAGTCAATCTGACCTGAAACTTGATAAATGCTGTTAAATAATAATGCAAAGCTTGAAGACTTTAAATTACAATTCATGAAAATAACACACCATAAATCATTAGTAAGTCACTAGTTTGAAAGTAACAATTTACTAAGAACTTTACACACAAACTTAGTAAAGGTTTTACGAATGACTGGCAACCTAGTTCAGGTAGTTAATGGATGTCAATATGTATATGTTTAAACAACTAATCTCTTTGTAGAAAGTATTGTGCAACCAGTTTGAATGTATTGATGCATAAACTCCACTTATTCAACACTTACGTTACAACTAGACTAAGTTTGAATTTATGAACAGCAAACTGGCTCCTGGTCTTCTGAGTTTTCAGGAAAACATTTCACAATAAGGTCCATCTCGTATAAGAAAGAAAGCAAATGCTGTTGAGAACATTATATTTGGAAACATAGATAGCTTTCTAGGTAAAAAGAAAGAGTGGTTATGTGTTTGGTTAATCTCAAACATTCCCATGTCGGCAACAATTTTGCACCAACTATAATTTCTCCTACATGCTTGGAAGGTGAGCGATATTCAGTTGGTTGCAGTCTTTAATTTCAACACTAAATGCCAATAAATCCTACACACTGGTCCTTTAAGTTGCCTTACAGTTATTGTGTTTGTTATGTCACTTTTGTCTCTAAATGTGTTTGTGAACAATCACTTTACTACAGTGAATCCATGAGACTGAAACCACCCCAGCGATGGTAGGTTGGTATAAAAATGAGTCCATGACTTCGACCTAGAAAGAAGTAGGTCACCGCCAGTAGGAGCTTTTACCAAGAACTGGTTTGATCCAGAAGATCTTATGTTCAAATGCTAGTCGGGTGTTAAGTGATGACCATTGGCTCGGTTTGTCCAGCTAACAGCTCTCAGCTCAGTTTGAAACCCTCCGCGCACCAGCATACGTGATGCAACGATACTTCCCGCTGAAGTCTCCCTCACCATCATTAACGGTTGTGGTTAATGTGGTTTTCACAGTTGGAAACTGAGCAAATACAACTCGCCTTTTGAAATAAGGTCTTCTATGAGGCTAGACACGGAAAAGCACACACACACACAACGCTGAACAAAAGACAACAGCTTGGGCAGTAGCCTTAGTGTATTGATAATGAATGCTCTATGAATCATTGCATGAGTAAAAAAATACAAATGGAGAGAGATGCTTACATCACAGACATGTACACTCAGCGGTGCATTAACACAAAAATTACATACAGTACTGCAGGAGGGTTGTTTTTTATGTCTTTTTTAAAATATTAAATTGGGCAACATTCCTCTATTTCATGTTGATTTTCAGTCACTTACAAATATAATCATAGTCATTTGAAGGCTCAATTTTATAGATCAGAACCTTCACCGAGTTTTAATCTATTAAACCATACTATTTAATTAGTCACAGCAGGAATAATATTAGTTAAGTAAAAGATAAAAACACCCTGACTGTCCACCAAAACTGTATCATCTAAATAAAAAACACATGTTAGTGTTTGAAATAATGAATTCAAACCATCTGTTTTTGTATACATTCAATCAAAATCAAGGCATTTCACTTGTTCATTTAAACGTCTAGTATAACACTGGCCTTGATAATGAGCTGCTGCTGGAGTCATAATGCACACATCATGTACTATGTCACACACAGTGATACAAACATAACATATAAATCTCAGTTTTGGGTGTCAAAGAGTTAATCAGGTGGTTATTAAAGGAAAAACCAAACCAAGACGCTGTACAGGAAATCTCTGAACAGCTATCAGTAACCCTTTGAGTTTTATACACAGAACCAACTGTACAAATCATACAATAACAATCTCGAAAATGAAGCACTTTTTTAAAGTTTTAGAATTATAATATTTTATCAATGCATTTCTATACAGCTATTTTGATTATCTTTAAAACAGCCTCTCTTTTTCAGCCACTGTAAAGGTTTCTTTTTTTTTTTCTCAACTTACACAACATCATTTATGCACTGAACGACCGGCTGTGTCGAACGTAAACACAGTATATGCACTCTGATTTTAAAACTGACATTCGTTGTCAATAAAGGTAAGAAGTGTGGATGTGTAGAAGAATTTCAAGCAGATTGAGCGAGACTTGAAAACAGAGACCTCCATCTATGAAATCGTAAACTTATTGCAGTTCTTTACTTCTGGGCTCTACGTGCTCAGATAAGCTTGTTTGAGGCCGAAGGAACATTTCCATTCTTAGCTGAGTGGAGAGTAAAGTTGAATATTGACTGCAAGATGAAATATGAATCATACCAGCTGGTACACAGTGCAATACATTCCTATTAAATCTGTACTGTCCTCTTCTTCCATCCTACCTTCTACGTAGAAAGTGTAGAAAGGAAAATTTATTTTTTTGTTTTGTTTTGGTTAACTCATTCTAGCAGACTGAATGTGCCTGTGTAATTACCAGTGTGTGTTTTCATCCCTGACAAACACACACACACACACACACACACACACACACACACACACACACACACACACACACCCTTTGAAACCTCAGGGAGTGCAACATCCAGCAACATGTGCATCAGTCCTGCACTATGGGGGCAAAGCGAAAAGCTCACACACACACACACACACACACACACTTCACCACGCCATATTCCCATTATGACACTGCTCTTCTAGACGTGCTGTAACTCAAGCTGGTGCTGCCGCTCTTGTGCGAGATCTTGAGTGTCGTGGCAACTGTCAGACTCGGCGTCATGGCAACAGGGAAGCTGGATGTCGTGGCTGCTGCAAATCCGACCGCGGTGGCCTGTTCGTTTGGGCAACCGTGCTGAAGCAAGATGTCGACACACTCCTGGCTGCCAGCATTGCGAGCCAGGACCAGCGCTGTCTGCCCCTGAGCGTCCCGATACCGCACATCACAGCCATACTGAAGGACGTTCACAAAACAGGGACAAAAATAACTGGATTAGATTATGTAATCACTCTGTATTCCACATTTTAAAGAGGGTTTTATCATATGTGGAATAAACTATAACTTTGACAGGTCTTAAATTATCCCAACAAGGTGCGACTCAGTGAGCTTTACTACCTTTCACACATATAGATCACCCTTGAGTGGCCTGCTGAGTCATCATGCTTTTTATTTTTTGCTGAGGGAATCACTTAAAGGTTTTTGAAGGGTGACATTTATTATTTTGCCAGTTTTGCATAACTCAACATGATGCTTCGCTGTGATGTAATATTTCACACCTTGTCGATACTGTACTCTCACTTATCTCCCTTCCTGCGAATCAGACAAAAGTTTTAGTGACTGCTATTTCAGAGAGGGAGGTAAACGCACCCAAACAAGAAGCTGCGTCATCACCACATCAGCCTGCTGACAGGCAGCATGCAAGGGCAGAGCCGGGCAGACGCAGAGCCAACAGTGACCTGGAGGAGAGCGCCAGGCTGAGAGGGGCATTAATGTCCTCCTTAGTGCAGTGGGCCAAAAGGAGCAGCAGCTTGGGGAGGTTGTGCTCCATCACTGCCAAGAGAAGGCGGCCAGAAAGCGTGATGTCTGGGCCTTCGCCAGGAGTTGGGGGAGGCAACGGCGCCACAAACAGTTTTTGCTCATATTTGGCCCTGATCCACGACTCCCGTTCCTCACTAAACAAGCAAAGAGAAAGGAGGATGAATATTCAGTGAAATATATTTACAGCTTTCCTGTCTTTCTGCTGTTAAAGAATGACGATTTCTTTCTACTGACACTTTAAACTCACACAGATGATTTTGAAGCTCATACTGTAAAACACTGAAGTACAGCAGTGTTGCCCTGTGTCACATCAATAATGTTACATCTCATTAGTGTCTTTGTTTGACTTAATGTCTTTACCGTGTAGCATCAGGTGCTGGTTTACGGCGGCCCAGTGTGCGCGCCTCCCATGTACTGTTGACCATGTAGTTGCCAATGGCACTGAGAACCAGCGTGAGCTCTCGTGGCAGATCATCAAGATCCAAAGAGCGAACACGTGACAGGTGGGTCCCCAAGTTTCTGTGGATCCCTGAACACTCGATGCATATGAGAGCACCCAGGTTCAGACTGGCCCAGGTTGGATCTTGGAAAAAACACAACAAATTAGACTGCCACTTCATCTGAAACTGGACTTTGTGTATAGGGTTGACAGATTTCTACCATTTAAATATGCCAGTTTGGCGTAGTCATGCCAGAAAAGTGCCTGAAGTTGTGTGAAATCCTGTTTGGACAAGTTTTAAAGCAGAGCTGTTAAATCTGTGGCCAGTGTGCCAAACGATATATTCCCCTGAAGCTGCGGCCCTTTAAAGTGTTCCAACATTAGAAGAATATTCCGCATTTGATCTATTTTGGTTTGGTTTAGTGATATCTAAGACGCAAATTTTAATTAATTAATGAAATTTTGCTGACTATCTTTCTACAAAAACGAATGTTCATCATTAATATGCTTTGCAGCTCATTGCTCCCTGTGATGGACTGAAGATAAACAAGACAAAATAGTTGTACCCCCCCCACCCCCTTTCTAACCTTGGCAGATCTTTTTGCTTACAGAAGTGAACAGTACTTTCAAGGTCTGGATGACAAAAGCTGAGGATTCAGATGGATTCAAAAGATTCAATAAAGCAGCACACAATATGAAAACAACACCAACACCAAGGAAAAACACAGATTTTTCCTCTGCAAATAAGAAACACACAAAAAACAAAGACTTTTCAAGAAGGATGGTTCACGAATGGTCACTCAGTTAATGTGTATTTCTTTCACAGTTTGTTGAATGAAACTAGAGCTAGATAGTAACACAACCAACTGTAATTTTTTTTTAAATACAGCGTGTTAATTGTATGTAAGGCCGTTTCCAAACAACAGTCTATTTTCCAGTGACAGGCCAGGTTTGCTATAGTAGTGTGGAAATGTTGGAAGCTTCAAGTGCTCCATAACTTGACTGGTTGATTCTTATATTCATCACACACTCTGAAAATGGAAAAAGATGAGCAAAGAACAAATGACAAGGGTTGGACACATCTACGGGGTTGAAATGAGACAGGATAGGTAATGTACCAAACCCAGACACAGATATGAACAGGTACAAAGGGGAGAAAAGCTATTATTATTATTATGTTTGCTACTTACTTGGAGCATCGCAGTCAACACAGAAGTTGTTGCCCTTTGCGTTGCGGATTGCCTGCAGAGCCACTGCTTCACTCTGGCTGTTCTTGCGAGTCTGTGGAAAACACAAGAATATCTTTAAATATCTTTAAAATAAGAGAAACACCAGTAGCCTAACCCTGTGTGATATTAGCTCTGCTAACGGCTCTGATACAATTACTATAATTTTCAGAATTCCCAGTGACAAAGCTATTGTAGAAGGCTATAATCATTGACCATTTAAAGCTTAAAAATGATTGGTTTTGGGCTCCTAGGACACATAGTTCTCATAACACTAATAAAGAAATACATCATGGGATTGAAGTAATTATTGAGAATCATTATATTAGTGGCGAATAACATTTTTGGAAGATGATTGAATGAATTCCACACCAGGACATACTTCCCACTCAACAACAGAAACCAGCACAGCCCATTAGTGGACAGGACCACATACAGTTCTGGAGATGGGATGGGTTTTGGTAATGGCCAAAGTAATCGGCTGCCCTCATCCATTTTAAAAGCAGCAGGAGTGAAAGTTTCCTAATGGTCTGAGGAGAGTGTCCAGGCGTGCTTCTCCTGAGAGAAAACTGTTCTTATCCAGGTGCAAATACACAAATATGATTATAAGGCCCTCCAAATGTACATCCAAGGACAGATAATGAATTTACATTTCATGCAGTATAACAAATGTGTTGTCATGTTTACTATCTGTTGCCTTTATTGTGCTTACTACTGTTGTGCCTTCCACTGGTATTATTTCAATACATTTTCAGGTGTACTTTGAGTAAAGGTATGATCATTTTATGCAGTTTTTTTCTCCATAGAAAAGTGTGTTTGGAAATTTGGAGATCAGGTCGCATCCTATACCCTAACAACTCTATAAATGATTTCAGTCTTATTTTGTGTGTGACTTTGCCAACAAAAGTCTAAAGAATTGTTTTATAGACTTGAAAATACAGACACAATTTTATGCCACAATGGATACCAGTATTACACTGCACCACATGATTATGTTGGTTAAGTTATCCTTTATTAATTCCTGTTGGAAAATTCACCCTCTGCATTTGACCCCTCCTAAGTACTGAGAACAGTGGGCAGCCACTGTGCGACGCCTGGGGACCAACTCCAGATGTGAGTGAGCCAGTGCCTTGGTTAAAGGCACTGACTGCAGAATTAACTTAACATACATGTGGAGCACCATGAGAAAATCTACACAAACACAACACATGCAAACTCACACAGAACAGCCCGGCCCCAGGCAGGCTAATTATTTTGCACTCAATATAATGTAACAAAGGCACATCCTGTGGTGTAAAAAAATGTGGCCGTTGGTTAATACAGCCATAATATTTTGTCATCTGTCAATTAAATTATCGCTGTACTGTGGCACAGAACACGATTGCTTCACATATGTGGAGACAATATACTTGGAAGATACAGATGCAGTATTTTATTATCCCAAATAAATATGTTAAATATGATTCGTCTGCATTTTCAAAGTTTTAGAGGGAATGTGGAGAAATCTATAAAAACTTCACCCACATATCTAAATCATATGAAATGTTCATGATTAATTAGGGGTTACAAACCCAGTACAGATATAATTAATGAGGTTGAGTAACGACAATAAAGTATCAAAAAAGGGAATTATCATTGTCAAACACAGTGCATTGTCTATAAAGAGCACTGTATGCCTTTTGTTCATTCTTACCTTGTTTTTGCTGCTCTCACACAGCTGCAGGCTGGCCAGGATCTGGCTCTCAATGGCTTGGACCCAGGAGTCCCTCTCCTCCACACTCTGAGCTTCAAAGTGCCAAGTCTGGCCGGTGCTCGACACGATGAGGAAGTCAAAGTTATCCTCATCTGACACAGGAACACATGAACATACAACATACAAGAGATTTTTCATCAGATATTATTCCAATAGTCTGATAACATTATGAACTAAAAATACATGTTAGTGAACTGTTTAGCCAAAAGCTTGATACAATTGAATGTCCTTCAGGAAAACACAAGCAGACAGACTGATGTGCGCAGAGTCAGTCAGTTGATGTTGAGTTTGAAAGATGCAACATGACAGATCAACATTACCTGCCTTGCTTACGTTTCTTAAGCTACCAAAGCTTTTAAGTTTCCACATTTTGCGTTTGGCTGCATGAAGAAGATAGAAAATGTCAAGGAACAGACCAATGAGAGAAAGAGAGGAAATAATACATGTTAAAACTATTTATCAGTCATATATAGTCATAAATTATCACAATTACCTTTAACACCATATCAAAATTGTGTGTGAGTCAAAAGTGTGATTGTTTCTTTGTTTGCTAAATGCTGAATATAAAAACACATATGGAGTTCTAAGCGTTTACCGTCTGCTTGGCCAATGGTTGCATCTCCTTTCTGGTTCATGCTCTTCTTTCTGCGATGCTTCTTCCTGTCTGTCACCGGTGAGGAGGAGCCTACGTCTTTGGTGGAGGAGGAGCTGGACACACCCTCAACTGCAGAATCTGGCCACAAGAACAAAAAAACCATATCAAATTAATGTATCTGGCACATGTTCTTAAGCTAAATATGCGCAAATTAAAATATCCTTCACTCACCAACACTTTGAGCGTGGTTAGATAGTGTAGAGGGACATCTCTGCACGCCTCTGTTACTCCTCAGGAACAGTGCACCACCCAGCCCTTCCATTTCCTCCACTTGCAGGAGGCTGCTGGCGCTTACAGGGACTAAAGAGATGATACCAAGCATGCATTTAATAATAGAGTAATTCAAACAAACATCAAACAAAAAACCAGAGATCCTGAAATTTAAAAGTACATTACTGATTCTGTGTGAACACCAGAGAAAATAAAAGATACAGAGTATGACTGAAGAAGTCCGGAAGTCTTTCACACACTTGCAAAACTTGTAAAATCCCTTATGATGCTCCTTTGTTCTTTTGCAAAGATTTTGCATTACCATGCAGTTTTTCTTTTCTTTCTGGTTCAGAAAAGTCTTAAAATCCAAGGAGCACTACATTTACTGTAGTTCTGACTCCTTCTTTTTCTTTTTTTTCTTTTTTTCTTACCCTACAGTACTATATCTGCTCATTCCTATCCAGGGCTTAACTCTCATGTACCCCAGCAAGAAAAGGACTAGCTATGACATATCTTCAATTTAAGATATTTCCATTTGTATCAACAATGTTTACTGCAATAATTCTGAAATATTACTTAGACTGTATTTTGTGTTATTGTTTCATGCTTATGTACACATTTATAGAAAGGATTTGTTTTAGCTTTTTAAAATAAAGAAATAACATGTTTATTCTTTGACCTGGGCTGACACCCTCAGGTCCTGGCACATCTTTGACCCGTCCGTTAAGCCCGACTGGAAGGCCGCAGGTTGGTACAGCACGAGGTGGTCGCTTTCCTGGCACCTTCACTGTCACTCGCAGCAGGTCCATCTCTTTCCCGGGGGCATTCAGCATGTAGTCCTGCCAAGCGCCAAACATCAACCATTACCATCAACCACTATCTGTCAGTGGTGCATTCGGCAGCATAATGCTTCAGAGCGCTCTGTCAACACACTGACTCACATTGACACTGGAGTGGTAGGACAGTATGCCGTCGTTGGACAGTGTCACATACTTCTTCTTCCACTCTTTGTTGAGCGAGTTCCCGCTGCGCTTCAGCAAGATGCCCTGATGGAGGTGGCAAAACCGAAGAGGGAGAATTCATTGCCAATGTCTTGTGTGTTCAATCTCGCACATTTCGGGCAGCACAATGGCTGCTGGTTGCCAAAAACACCCACTATTCCTATTCATCAGGCCAATATGGAAGATCACAACACTTCATCACTCTGCATAATGAGGCTGCCTCACGCGTTTGGTTTCAAAAGACTGCTGGTGTGATGTCCTCTGCGGCGGGTCATTAGATACATCATATTTGTTTCTGCATCAAGTGCAAATCTGTGTCTTACCTGTTTGATGGGAATGGAGCGTCCGCTGCCCAGATCGCCCTTACAATCTGCACTCCTTCTGTTTGAGTCGCTGCCTCTCCGGCCCTAGACAGACAAGAAAAGCAATAACTGACATTTCATCACAAAGCCATAAACAGTATTTGGAAATGTGAATGAAGTTTCTGCTGACTGGCTGGCTTATAAATGTAAGCCATATCTAAAGAAATAAGTTTAATATCAATATCCATGCCATTTGGCCTCAACAACTTTCATAGTCAAAGCCCAAACCAAGTTATAGTCATTTCTAAGTTATAAATTACTTTTCTGATACCTTTGTTGTTTCATTCATGCTTTCAAACACTGAAGAGAATGCAATTATCTACACACTATGCAGGGTGACCAGTAACCTCTTTTATTATCTCCAAACAAATACTTGAGCGCACAGTCGGAGACAGCTTGTCTGTCTTTCTTCAAACTGTTAACTATAATCTAAAAGATATGACAAAGTATTGTATATTCAGGTAAATGGCCAAATAAATAGTATGATACAGTAACATTTCATAGTGTAACTAAACTGCTAACCACAGTGTTTTTCCACTGGACCTGGGTTTGTCTTTAAGTGCCTAGAATCCTGATAAGTGTCCCCAGTTTTATGAATTTGTAAACATGGGAAGCTGTTAAAATAGGAAAAAGAAAAGAAAGTAATAAAATAAAAGGGTGCATATGCACAAGTGCTTGTGCCCATACAAAAACAATCACTTGATGAGTATGTACCGCAAATCGGGAGGTACGTCTCCGGGTGGCACTGCGGACAGACCCGGGTGTCGCACTTTCCTGTTTGTCTCCTCTTGCTGTCCGGCCAATCTCTTTATGGCTGATAACAGGAGTGGAGGGAAGTGATGAGGAGTAATCACTGCTCTGACCACCGTTACTGGCCTAATGAGAGGGAAGAGCCAGAGCAGGAGGGGGGTGGGGGGCAATGAATGAAGTGATAATTGAGCAGAAAAGGAAGATAATTGAGTTTGTTACTGCAGAAAAAATACCGATACAGCAATCCTAAAATATACAGTGCACTCAGTAAGAAAAGGTACACGTAAATGATACAACTTAGTATAATTTTTTCAGACAGTGTGGAACAGATGGGTCTTACCTGTCCTGGAAACACACCCGACACTGGGGTGGAGCCTCCAGAGTGACTGGGAGAGTTTGGGAGAGATTTACAGGAAGCCAGTAGAGCAGCTTGCTTCTTGGCTGCCATGATCTTCTGAGCAGCTGTGGAACAAAAAAAGAAACCTAATCGTAAGCCCTGAATAAGACACATCATTTTCATATTTCTGCATGCTCTGACTTTGAAAGGGACACATACCGTCAGTGAAGACTCTGTTCACATTGAGGCCATATGTCGCACAAGTTTCATAGTAAGTGCAGCGCCGCACGTCGGAACAAAGCTGCCTGGCCCTGGCATCATCTATGACTCTAGGGTTGGTACTGCTTATCTTATCTGGAAAAAAACACAAATCACAAATGCACCGAAAGCCCACCCCTGCAAACATTTGAAATAAAAGCACATGTTGTGCGTGAGTGTCTTACCCTGAGTGCCGACTACAATGAAAGGTATCTCAGAAACAGGCCGATGGACAGCGAGCTGGTGATAGATTTTGTAAACTTCCTGGAAGCTGGCCTCATTTTCCAAACTGAAGACCAAGATAACTGCATCCACCCAACTTGCAAACTGAGAAGGAGATGAGTAGAGCTCATAAAATTAGATTAAGACCTAAATTACATCACATTTTATTAGTTGTCTTCAAGTTCAATCAGTTTCCAACCCACCTGAGCACCTGGGAGCTCTGTCTCTTCTCTGATTATCAACACATGGCTCTGTCCGTCAACCAGGACATCCTTAATGTACTGGCGCCCTGGAAATGCACAGAAGGAGTAGACACAACTTGTTACAGACCTTTTTCATAGCAGATATTTTGGCTTGTAATAGCAGAAAAAGCATTAAAAACATGCCCTGGCCCTGGTCTTGATCATCTAAATGGATGGTTAAAGCCAACAGCTGCCCACCTAGAGCCGGGGTCTGCTCAAGGATTCTGTCTTTTTTCTGTGTCACTGTCGCCAAGTGCTTGCCCATTGTGGAAATTGTTGGGTCTATATATATATATAATATAATTTTAGTACTGTCTAGACGGCCTCTTTATGAAAAGGTTTCCTGAGATAACTTCTTTTATGATTTGGACATAAAACTAAATTTAACTGAATAGAAGTATTAATGTATTAAGAATTGATTAAGTATTAATTACACCTGTGTATGAGAAGTAGATTATTAAGTAGTGTTTATTGTCTGTTGTGTGCTGACATTGTCATAGAAAAACATCATCATGTGAAACCAACCCTCAGCGTTTTCAAGCTGCAGGTAACTTCCTGTCAGGTGTCTGTGTACCAGAGCAGACTTTCCACTGCACAGACCTCCTAAAACACCCTGCAAAGCACAAACACGCAAACACACAGAGAAAGAAAGTATTAATTTAGCATTAAATCGATCTACTCACTGGTTTGTAAAAAAAACGATGCCAATAATGCTTACCAGGTGAAGCTCTTGAACAGTATGGCTCATGGTCCATTCTTGACTGCTGGTGCAGGCAGCTAAAGAGAAAATAATGACCAAAAAAAGGAGATTAATTGATATATATGATGATATAATAATTTTATGTGTTAGTAACTTGCAAGATACAGGATATAAACTATATTTAAGACAACTTTGAAGTTGCTGGAAGCTGTGAGCTAACATTTGTGTTTTCCCCTGCTTCCATTCCAGGCTAGGCTAAAAAGACAACAAACTATTTTTAAAAACATCCGACTGCTTTAAGATTGCACCATAGGGGATCTGCAATGGTACAAACAGTAAACAAAGTAAGCAAAAGAGCATACTTTTTAACCGTTTACATGTTATATGGTGTTAGAATTCAAACTAGTCACCAACACAACCACGAGGCTAACCATGCCCCCTGCTTCTAGTCTTTGTGGTAAGCTCAGCTAAACAAGACCTACAACTATTTCTTTGAATGTACAAATAAGAAGTTGACACTGGACTAATTTAAAAAAACTTATTTCCCCAAAATGTTGGAGTGTTCCTTGAAAAGTGTGATTGCTGACTGCTAGCCAGGTTTGGTCTGCCTGCCTGTGAGGAGAGTTAGGGTTCCCATGCCTCCCCACTGGGTGCAAAGAGGCTGCAGCTCCCAGACACTCAGCACCCAGAAAATTCAATCAAGTGTACAAATGTGCAAGTCTACATGAGTTTGCGAGCATGCCAGATATCTTTAGTTTACCCTAACATCATTAGACATAGCACTTTTGCAAAAACCCTCATTGCAAGCAATTTTTCTTGCCTTGAAAGCGTATTAATCTAAAAAAAAAAAATTGATCATTCAGCATCCCTCATTTCATGAATTTTATAGAAGTTAGTGTCAACTGAAACAAGACTGAATATGCCACCTGGTCATCTGTGGTATTGAGAAGGTGAAACCTGATTCAGAAAGACTTTTGGAAGGAGCAGATTTGCATCAGCGACAATCAAATAACCTCAAATAAAGATAAGCTTTGCGCTATTATTGTCTATTATTGAGTCAGCCAGAGTCTAATACTAGTGCAGTGATCTGCCTAATCCAGTATTGTTACGTTATATTGACCATGATTTCTAAAATGTTCCATAAAAAGAGGAAACTGCACTGGGAAAAGTGAAATTATTGCACTGCTGATTTGTTTCGAGCGAGAAAAATAAGTCTTGAGGAGGCCAAATTACTTGTTAAGATGGATGTTTTATACTGAATGAGAGTGGGATTTTGTTTAGTTTATTCTACATCAGACAAAACCGAAATGACAGTATATAACTGATGTCACGTGACTTATCTAGTTACAAAACATCATGTTTAGGTTGAGGCAATTGTCAGCATCTCCGGAGATTAGCAAACTCACTCCTCTGTCAGTTCTTTATAGTCTTCGAACTGCATCAGAATTTTACTCAGCAACTAGGATATAAAACAAACCTATAAAGACAAAAGCTTTTCTTTAAATGTACTACAAGAAGCTTATTAGCTGTTTATGAAACAGTCTCAATTTAATACTGATACCTCTTTATGGTGTACATAAGCATACGACACCTTTGACGATAAGACTATTTCTATCATAATTCCTAATGCCTGCCACCGGGTCGGATTCAGTCGAATCCCCTTTGAAATCAATGAAACAAACTACCACTTTTGTCCACAGCTGCCACCAGAAGACAAATGTGTAATATGTCTAATGTAAATAAACTCCCTTTGATAACGTCTTATTTCTTATTATTTTCCCTTTTACATTACTAAGATATCTATTATTGTTTATTGAATCTTTGAAGCCTAAAATAGACCTGTGTTTGTGTTGGTTTTTAGTGATGAGGAAATCCACTAGGCAGTGACAATATGATGACTGAGTGTTAATATTAAAAACCTACATTATGTTCCAAGTGTCATGATGATAAACAGTTGTGAGATTATGACCAAATATATCAACTTCATTGCTTAACTGTGATGATAATGATCCTCCAGCTGTGTGGGTTTATTGTGTAGCAGTCGGTTTAGTAAGTAATGCTTGATCAGATCTGGCACCGATATACTAAAACAAGAATTACAGGATCAAAGATTCTTAAAGGCAACGAGCTTCGTTGCATTTTTTACTGGGTTCATAGTGTGCGCTATAGCAACTGTTTAAAATGTATTCTTATTCTCAGTTTTACTACTCCATAACTCACTCTCTAATTTAATTCTGAGGTCATGGATATATTTCTGTTCCCCACTTTCTCATATTGAGCCATAAAGGTTTTCTGCAAAGAAATTATTCTGCCAGTACATATTATATGAGAGTTTCAGGGTTTTGGAATGCAATCTTGAAACAAGGTGGAACAAGAAGTCCACTGGTGTCAAGAAATTGACAATCGAAACACTTCTTAAAACAAGCTGATCTCTTTTGTGAAATGACGTACATTGAAGCACATTATTGCTCTACACATAAAGGTTTAAGTTGTTCATTATAAGACTTGATGGAGGTATCTTTGTAGTGAGGTTGCATTCAACAGTCAGGTTCGAGTGCCTTAGCTCTAACCTCAGTAGAATTACAGCAAAGGTACCTCTGTGAATGGGCATTCAATAAAACACACACACACACACACACACACACACACACACACACACACACACACACACACACACACACACACCCTTGAAGGACACCACACACAATTGCAGGTATGAGGCTGAACAGAGAAAGACAAATGACAAACACACACAGACACACACTGTGTGAAGGTGCCGACAGATGTAAATCAATGTAAAAAGACAACAACACAGTTAGTGTTTGCACACGCGCCCACACACACACACACACACACACACACACACACACACACACACACACACACACACACACACACACACACACACACACACACACACACACACAGACACTGAAGCAGTCGGGTCACGATGTATTTGGGGTGGAGCCGCGCCATCGGCCACCTCTCCGGGGGACACAGAACTTTAAACCCCCTCATGCCCATCTCTGGGCAATCCCCACACCCCCACACTCCGCTCCATCAACGGCGTCACCACCACAGACCAAATAGCATCTCTCACGGCTTGCTGTTGCCATGGCAACTCCATTTTCCAGAAGCCTCCAGCCCGGGTCTCTATACAATAAATGGTCTCTCACAGATACAGCGACGTTTGTGCTAGGCACAGAGACACGACGTCCACCTGTGTACATATGATGCTGAATATATTCAAGTGTGTGTCTCTGCACATTTTGACAACGCTGACCAATGTTTTATTAATTCAATTTGATCAATAATGTTCATCCATCATCTAAACTACAGGTTAAACACGCCCAATCACTTAAACACAATATAGCGTTGACGAATGAATGGGCTCCATTTGAAGGCTGATTAACTCTATGCACAGAGCAGGAAGTAGCAGGTTCCCGCTCTCTCCTAACTCCTCCGATGAACACAGCTCTGTGTATCCCCAACCTTAATTATTCATGTCCCACTTACTACTGACAAATTATTCAGAGCTTACTCCAATACCACACTCTCTGTCAAAGATGATTGTTCTTTAGAATATATCAATAAAGATTAAAGATTGATAAAGTTGCATAATGTTCTTTATTTCAAATAGAGAAGTCTGAATATTTCATGAAGTGTTTTTGTAGATTTTGACAAGACTGAATTAATTTCTATTTGTTTGCATGTCAGAATTCCTCATAACAGAGGTCCAAAGCATTAGGTACAATAAAAGGACAGGGACAACATTTTAATACTTTTTCACTATTAAAATAAACAGTGGAGCCAATAAAGAATAATCTGTACTAAAATTTTAAACGTTGTCTGCAACATTAATGAAGTTAAAAAATCTATTTGTGATGGTTTTAGTTTAATTGTATGTGAGTCAGTTTTTACTTAAAGCTAAATAATATTCCATTCACTTCCATGACAGACCTGTTGGAGGTCTAGAGGATCTTCAGAAATAGATCAAGCTTTTGTCAAGCAAGATGATTACCTTGACATTTAGATATTGTAAATCTAGTGATTATTATAGGGCTGCATTCTCATTACCAGCTAATCTGATAATTCGGGTAATTGATTGTTTGTGTCTATGAAATGTCAGAAAATAGTGAAAAATGCCCATAGCAATTTCTTAAATGTGACGTCTTAAAAAAAAGTTTATTTTGTTCAAACACCCATCCAAAACCCATAAATATATTAAAATATCACATAAGATAAAGAAAGGCAGCAAAGAATATTTTGTGTTTTTGCTTGAAAAATGACTTAAAGGATTCACTGATTATTAATATAGTTACTGATTTATTTTCTGTCAGTTGCTCAGTCGAATAATAAACTAATTTTTTCAGCTCAGATCATTAATGAATCTGAGTTATGGCTCACCCATTTGTGACTATCAACAGGAAACGTGTCACATAACTGCTGCAAACATGCAGCTCTTTCAACAACTCACCCTTTAATACCTAATACCTGCAATATGGCTAATACTTACTCAGATGTCATTTTGTTTTGAAAGTTTGCTCCATTGCTGCCATTAAGATCCTCGTGTGTGTGGTTTGTTTTTCTTTGTGTTACATTTCAATAACATCAACATATTTTCACCAGATGTCATCCCTGAAGGTTATTTTATAGACTTAAGAATTAGTTTAAGATATACTGAGAGCTCAGGGCAGTAAAGAAACTGTAGAACTGCTTCACCAAATCCTTCAAAGACATGAGAGGTGACTTGGACTTGATCTCACACACATCAACTGGATTTTAAACCAAAGCCAGTGTGTGCAGAGAGTGTCAGGCACATCTCATCTATTTCATCTAGGAAGGAAAGTATAACAGCTTATTCTAAGTAAAAAAAAAAAAAGACATTTAATTCATATAGCCAAATTCAAATCCACTTTGCATGAAAATATGCGCAATACATTTCACCTGATAATTCAATCTCACAACTGTGTTTAAGTAAAGTAATGAGTTAGACGAGCATTAGAGCATTACTGGGTACGAATGGGAACACGTTGTTTGGTTTAGGTCGACACCACTCCTGAGAGAGCAATGTAAGCGACAATAAATATGTGATCTTGTGTAATCACATTAAACAAAATGGTCTTCTTAGTCGCTTCAATTTCAGCCCAAGTGAGCACTGATGGGTGAACTGAAACAACAGATGTGACAGCGTTATTTTGCCACTGTCGCAGAATTCTCACAGAAGAGCAGTTGTCTCTCTCTTCTACAGAGTCGTATAAATGTTGCTCTGTTGGTTGTGTATGTATGTGCAGCGCTGTGGGGAGTCCAAATATATCAAATTACGTGGACAGAAATGTTGGTATAAAATAGTATGCCTGTAACATTTGTCACAAAAAGCCTGTCATAAAGTTCTGTGATCACATACAGTAGATGCATGTGGGGGCCTTACCTTCCTCCTCACTGGAGCCCCTTTCCACAGCTGGATAGAGGGGAGGTGCAGTGTTGACACTGGGCGGCGCCGCTGTACTTTTGGTGAAAATGCCACTAATGAACTTGAGCATCTTTCGGTCACGGGGAGGAGCTCGCTGGATTGTTCCTCCCTGGCTCTCCTTCCCTTTCTTCAGATCCTCGGAGAGGGAATGTAGGTCGCTGTTGTCCAGGGTACGACTTGTACCTTTTCTCTGAGGCCTGGACGCATCGGTGGCAGGAGGTGCAGGAAAGGAAATAGAAACCGTCTTAAATCTCTCCCCCTGAGGGCTGTCTCTGGTCATTATGCCTGAAAATCCACCACTGATGGGAGCTCCGGGGCGAATGAGAGTGCCCCTTCCATCGCTGTCAGCCCAGGACGCCCTGTAAGGCCCTAGAGTTGTAGCTGCCATTAAGGGGGACTGGTCCCCGATACGGTTATCCCTTCGATCCAAAGTCTTAGCAGAGTGATACAGGCTTGTATTGGCCTCTCTGAGTTCCCTCCAGCATGCAGAGTTGCCTCCTGCATGTGACCTCATGAGGACTTCGGGACGCTGGCTGACCTGCGGCGGGATGGAAAAAGGGAGGCTGCAACGTGAGCGGCTGTTCAGGTCTGCTCCATTTTCCCCCTTTAGGAACAGCATGGGGGGCTCTCTGTAGAGCTCCGTCTTAGGGCGCAAGGCATCTGAGCGAGGCCCCTCTCTGCGCACAGTTCCCTCGGAAGTAGTCCCTCCATACACTTTGACCATTTGCCTAACAGGTGCGTGTACAAAAGAAGAAGAAGCGTCTTTGCTTTTACAGACGGTTACAAGGTCTTTTTGGTGTCCATGAGTTTCCCTCCTCTCAGGCTTCCCCCAGTTCTCAGTGGGGCTGCCATACTTGACCGGCACCTGTTCCACTTCTTCTTCCACCTGTGTGTTTTCTTTCCCCACCACTTGTGTACATACAGGTCCTTCCTCCTTTTCAGGGGCATTGCTCACCTCTTTCTCCTCCTCCTCCTGCTCCTCCTCCTCTTCCTTCTTAGGGCTCCCTTCCCCCTCTGGAAGAGCCTCCTTCTGGTTCTCGGCTACATCCTCTGGCACAGCCTCAACCTTCACCAGAGTGAGGGAAATGAGGTAGGTGGTGCGTCTCTGTGGGTTGCCCGCCTTGCTCATTGGGACAGCAGACTTCAGCACAGTGGCACCTGCTCTCTGACCTAGCCAGACCTGCTCACCTCAGTCATGGCAACCAGGATAAGACTGAAGCAGAGGAGAAAGATAATCTAAGATCAAACACAGACACCTGATCAAACCTTGTGTAGCTGATTGTGTCTGATAGCGGGCCTGTGCACTTAACAAGAACCCCCGGGTTTCCTTTTAAAATAAAGATATGAAGAGTCAGTGCAAAAGAAAGAGGAATACTTGGAATTGCAAATTTCCAGAATATATTTAAAAGCCTGACCCAGTGGTGAAACAAGTCTAGACTGTTTTTTTTAATGCTTCCATTAATCCCCCTCAATGCACACCGCTACTACTGGTCTCTACCACTGATTCATTCATAATCCTCCCCTCTCTGTTCTTGGCTTTCCTTCCTAAACTCATTTATTCTATACAGATTTAACATGTAGGCACACACAGATATACATAAGGACACATTTCTTTTTACTGTGTTGATGTCTTTGCCTCAGATTTCAGCCTGGAATTATGCAACACTCAACACATTCAGTTGATCCATTTCTTGACTTAAAATGAATATTAGATGAATAATGCCACCTTACTACAGTATGTGTCTCAGCCTTTGCTCATATCATACCTTCATTTTTCCCCAAGAATATCCATTGCACAGTTCCTTGCACATTTGATTTGATGAAGAATTTACCTCGCCATCTGATAACCATTCATATCAAATGGCACATCAAACAAGGCTGAGAAAAAAAAAAGAGCTCCAGCTGATGAGTCCAAGAGAAAAAAAACTGTTGAAAGAGAACAGGGTGCAAAAATATCAAAATGGAAATCATTCACTTGTCACGAAGCGTCTGGCAGCTGGAGCCTCCGTTCGACAATGTCATGCATACAATTATGTATGCACGGTGTGCAGGTCACTGGGAGATTCTGAAAAACATCTGTTGTTATGTCTCCAGAAAATTAAAAAAAGAGAGAGATGAAGTGGCCGGATTTACGCAACCCGAGCAATGCCTCCTTGTGCCTGTATCCCTCCTCTAGAGAGCAGCTCTTCTCGTTCACCGCATCCTCTCCTCCGAGTGCCTCATCCAATTAGCAAGTCAATAAAATGTGTCTGTGAGGCAGAGGAAGCCCACCAGCTCACCACAGCCCCTCCTCCTTTTTTTTCCTCCTCTTCTCGCTGCCACAGAGCCTCGCAGCCACCACCACCACAACCCCCCCCCCCCCCCCAACCCCCCCCCCGCTAGCCTGTTAGCCTGCCGCACACCCAGCTCCACACTGGCTCCAGCTCCAGCAAACAGGCTGAGGATGAGAGGCTTGCAGTGAGGTGGTGGTGGTGTTGGTCCTTGCCCACGTTCATCAGATTTTTTTCTGTGCCGACACAACAAAAGAGACAGGAGGGAGAAAGAAAAACCCTCAGCTCTGCTCCTGCCAATGCATCTGCTCTGTCTCCAGCTCTTTCTCTCCCCTCTCCTTTTTCCAAAGCAATTTATGGACAGCTCCTGCTCTCTCTCTTTCTTTCTCTCTCTCTCCCTGCCTCACTGTCTGTCCCCTCTGAGAGAGAAAGTGAGGATGCACAAGAGGGAAGAACCTCGATGTCTATGGATCATTTCAGAAAAATGGAAAGAGAATAAAAAATGTGTAGGAAGGGAGGCTGAATTAAGCAGCATGTAATTAAACTCCATGGAGAGGAAACTGAAGATACTAATTTGAGTGTGCAGGTGATGCAGGACAGAAGAAGAATGTAGAAGAGAGGAAAATCATTTGTTTTATCAAAATAAAACATGCACAAAATAGCCCTTACAAATATTTCTCAAAAATCTACTTAATTAGCTTTTTTTTGGTCACTCTCACTCTCAGAGTTTCCCAATTCCATTTAAATGAATAGAATACTTTGAGCAATTAAAGCACAGCAATTACAGCCAAAGAAGATTAAACTGTAAACCTTACAGGGAGAAAAATAGAAGCTGTTGTAAAAATCTACTTTGGGATGTGGATAATGTGTGCACATGAATATTTTAGGGCCACAGTTTGCTTTAAGTAAATACTATAAGCCCATTTAGGTCAAAAAGTAGTTAGATGTGTAGATTTGTTGCTCAGCAGTAAGGATACTTTTTGCTCTTTGACTTTTCTTTGATTTATATATTTCAATTTATAGTGCCAGATAATAATATAGGAAGGAATAAGAAATAATATGCAAACAGCTGGAGTTTGATATAAGTTAAGTGCTAGTGGGTAGATCATTTTACTGCTTAAAGGAGAAGATTGATACAATTTTATATAGGCTAAATATGAAGCTTGAGCCAGCTAGACTAACAAACCTGTCTCTGAACGCTTTGCTCAATAGAGACTGAGGACCTTCTTGCAGCTTTCAAAGCAAAAACAATTACAGTTTAAAAAAAAAACTACATTGCAGAAGCAATCCAACCAATCCTTGGTTTGCAGTCTTTATGCTAAGATAAGCCAATCAGCTGCTGGCACCAGCTACATATAAATAGTATAAATCTTCTCCTCTAACCCTCAGCAGGGAAGCAAATAGGCAGCTCAAAATGTCATTGGCTAGCGATCCCCTGTTTCCAGTCTTTATGCTAAGCTAAGCGAACCGGCTACTAGTGGTAGCTTCATTTTCACTATTCAGATACAAGAGTGCTATCTTCTCATCTCTCAGTTAGAAAGCAAATAAGATTATTTCTCCAAACGTTGAATTATTTCTTCAACTTAGTATAAGACTTGTAGTTGTTAAAAGTTATAGTATGTATGAATGGTTGCTCTTTAACAAGACATTCTTTTACAATATATTGGGGAAAATATTGCAGTTTTTTTGTACTAGTTAATTCATGATATTGTAACCACAGTGACGAATTCAAGCAATCTGAAGAGGTACTACGAGTTGTTTTACCAACAGGTTGAATGTCAAATCGTTGGTAGATTATTAAAACACTTTTTTTGCATCTTGTCTACGAGTGTGCAACTATCTTCCTCCACACCTGTACTTTCATTGTGGTTGGCACCTCTTCAACACTGCTGTGCTTTCCTCCTCTTTCTCATCCTGAAAAACTTTAGTAGTATGGAGCACGCTCTCCCATGGGAAGTATACTCAGCCTGTGAAAACAGTGGCATAAAGTGAGAAAGTTGTATAAATATATTTCTTAAGTTTGAAAAAGATGTCATCAGGGACTGGACTTAGAAACTTACACATATGCATTATGTGACGCACAATAGCAATTCAACCGGGAAAAAAGAAAACACGTCCGACTGACTGGCAGTCATTCATTCATTTCTTCCTTCAATATTAGAGGACAAAATGCAGTATAGGGATCGAATTAAAACGGACTGCCATCTGTATAATAATACACAAAAGAAATCTGAATGTGATTAAAGTGTTTTTATTCATTTGTAGTTGCAGTGCTGGTTGATTTCAAATGGTTTTTAGCAAAAAAATGTTACACATGAAATGAAGTCCAACCCTTCAGTCCTCCAAATAAAAGAAACTATTCTTCCACTTTATGAGACTATTTAAGGGCAATACCAGTATTTTTGTCATGTGTGTTTCTTCTACTGCTTCGAACTATTCTTTCTTTTCCTCATGATTTTCATACAGCTTAATGACGTCACAGGCTTACGGTGTTTTGTTCCATTTGTATGATAAATATTAACACAAATACACTAAGATCACTGACGACTGGCTGCTCTAACCCTGAGGTGTCATTTTTGTCAGACTTTGTTCAGCCTGTAACAAGAAAAGACGTCATCTCCGCCTGTCTAAACACTGTACAACAATAACAAGAGCAACATTTGAGAGGAGATGACAGACGTTTCTGTTTATCAGTCCCTGCTGATGACACTGACACAGAAATCAAACATCAAAAAAACTGGTACTGTCCTTGAAAACATGACATGTTAACATCATTAATTGTGACATTTACATGTTGGAAAGCATGCCAGTGATCTTTAAGTTCACTCCTCTTCTTTTTTTTGCCCCCATTTCTCAGGTTTTAATCCTTTTTTTTTTTTTTTTTTGATGCAGGAGTGACAAGAAAATAATCCTGAAGCAAAACCCAGACGTCTTGAAAGGCAATGCACTGAATGAAACTGAAATCCTTTATGGTTAGGCCAGGTCTAAACTTAGACACTGTTACCTCTCGCTGCATGTTTCACTGCATCATTTCAGCTTTTTGTCTGAGTCAATGTCTCCTCGTCCTGGAAATATGGATGTTCTAGGGCATTCAGGGCAGATATTCGTTTGAAGGGGTCGAAGGTCAGCATTTTCTGTGGAAGAAAGAATAGCAGGATATTATAGCTGCGTCACAGTCAGCTTTCAGGTCTTAAAGGAACAGCCTGACATTGAGAAATACTTTGATTCGCTTTCTTGCAGAGAGTTAGATGAGGAGATTGATGCCACTGTGTGTATGGTAAATATGAATCTGGTTAGATCTGTTGGTTAACTAAATATTAATTAGAAAAGTTGTGATTTTAAGTCTTATTTTCTGTTTTACCAGCACTGTTAATTATAATGCAGAAAGAATAGTTTTCTTTAAATAGAACTGCTGGAAGCCTTGCTCTCTCCTCTAGTTTAACCAGCTGGATAAGAAACATTAGTCACAAGGATTTTTAATATTGCATCAGTGAAATTCTTTTGGCTTGTGTTGAACATCATCAGACCATGAGTGAGTTTCTGTATTTGTTACTGTCCTATTTCAACTCTCTTTACAGCTGAAAGCTAATTACCATATATGATGGACTGTCACTTTAATTTTTAATTCATGGTGAAGTCTTACCAGCAATAGTTGTGCCCCCTGCTCATTTATCTCTGGAACCAAGTCAGTGATTGGGCGAGGTAATAGAGGGGGGAAGTTTTTTCTTGAGAGTGTGACATCGGTTGGCCACTCCTCCTCTGGTGGCAAGCCAATAACTCTGAAATTACATATCATTTTCAATGTAAGTAAGTATGTATAGTATGAATCAATTACCAATACATCCAGTAAATGTGATGGAAACCATCTGTTACTCACTCAAGAATTTTCCCGAGTTGGTCCACTTCGGATTCTCCGCAGAACAAAGGTCTAACAGACACAAAGTATGTAAGAAAGTCAAGTTAGATGCCATTTTACTAATTCACACGTCTTTGCAATTCCTGTGTGTGCAGGAGGGCAAACTGTAACATTATGTCTTTTAGACACAGATTAGATGTTCGGCATGAAGGGCAAGTTGAATGATTTTACTGTTTGTTTTATTTTGCAACATCTCAGTGAGAGCCACTTCTTAATTGTTTATAACACTATAATATTATAACGCTGTACCGCTGCTTTAGCAATGTATCATTATATAATCACCATCATTATACTAACTGTTCCCAAGGCAATTATTTTGAGACATGAATCTCTTTACTAAATATATGCAATGTGTCATTTTTACCACTAGATGGAGCTACTGTGTATGTGACAGCACTGGTTCTTGGCTGATCTGGGAGAAATGTTTCAAAACAAGACTGATGAGAGTTAAAAATCATAAAATACTACAGGGTCCCTCAAGCAGAATAAGTTGACTTAAAGTCACACATTATGACTGTTGCTTGCAGAAAGTGTCTGTGGGCCTGCTAACAACTGTAATGTTTGGATGTGTTGTTATGCAGGTCAAAGTCTGTGAGCTGGGTTTGTATCAGCATGCATGCCATGACTGTGTACAACTACAGCATGTGTCAATACCCACTTCACACCCAGGTCACATTTAACATCTTTGGAGCCCAAAATCTATTTTCGTATGTCTGGAGTAAATTTATTGTAGACTTGGTTGGAAGAGGAGCTAAAATAAAATGTTCCTGTGTGCTGTAATATAATGCCCGTAGCAAAAGTCTGGCTGTTCACCTCCCGACAGTCAGAGGCTCCAGACCAGATTTCCCCAGAGTTGCAGATAACCTCGTAATGTGAACATTTTCAGATCAAATCTAAACCCTCCTGAACTGTTGGCAAACTCGTCACAACTGCTCTCACAAAAATGTGTGATAGGTTGGAGTTAAAATTTGGACACTCACATCATTAGTTAACAAGTGTACCTACTGTAGTCAATGAGAGTCTAAAGGTGAAACATACCTCCCTCTAACTGGATGATCAATACAATATTGCACAGTGTTTGATGTTCTGTTATGTTTCATAATATAGTGTTAGCATGTTTGGGACTATAAACAAGAAAAGCTGTGA